CCTAGATTGTGAAGTGAACGTCACACCTTCTGACCCTGAGGCAAGAGTGTAAAGTGTTACCAACCGAAAGGAAACTCACACATAAATAGACAAAAAAAGACGTTGTTGGGGCGGGGGGGGGTGGGGGGTATTACTGCCCAAAACAGTGTACACCCAAACCTTCTCCATTGTCAGTGTTCCCTCCTGCACATTCAGGGGGATGTTAAAGATCTCAATCGCCATATAGAAGTTCTGGCCAATAATCCTCCACGTTTATCGGCTCGCCAACACGAAGGGCAAGTCCAAGCCGAATCCGTAACAGCATTTAAAACAACAAATAATAATAATAATCCTCGCATTTGATGCGGCGCCTTATGACGTCTTCGAGACGTCTCAAAGCGCTTCACAGGATACGCTGTAAAGTGAATTCACTGTATATTTTGTGGGCGAAGCGCGGCAGCCAATTGCGCACGGCAGCGTCCCCACGAACAGCGAGTGACCAAATTATTTATCACCGCCGGAAAAGCGATCCACCAGTCGACTAACATCCGGGTTCCTACTTACTGCTGGGTAACCAGAGGCGTCTGTGCAGAAGGAAACTTGCCCAACGTTTCACCCTGCCGGGAATCAGACCCAGGTCCTCTCGCTTGCGAGGCGAGCGCTGAGCTACAGGACTCCACTGGTTGAATACTTGGGGGAACAAAAAGCAAAGGAAAAGAGCAGAGGGCAATGGGATTACAGTCGAGAGCTCCAGTTATGGTGCATGGCTGTTTGAACTTGCTATAGGCGCGAATTGTCTGCCATGTTTGCCTACGGAAATAGCCCTGACACTAACAGTGATTCCTCCTGAAGGCACTGTAAAATGCGCGTTGCTCCTTTCGGATACGTGGCCACTTGAACGGAGTGTCAACATACACCAGGGACTATTTACACAATTTCCTGTGCAGTGCAGTGCAGTGAGAGATGTGCCCACACTCCAATGTCCACAGTCACTTCAGAGATTAACTAACTGTGTGCAAAGGCTTAATTAGTGGAGTCCTGCAGCTCAAGCGCTCGCTTTGCAAGCGAGGTGACCTGGGCTCGGTTCCCAGACAGGGAGAAACTTTGGCCAGGTTTCCTTACTCCACACACACACACACACACACACACACACGCACGCACGCGCCTGTGTTTACCTCGCAGTAAATAGGAACCCGGTTGTTAGTCGATTGGTGGAACTCTTTGCCGGGGATCATAATCCCTTCAAAAAATAATAACAGTAAACACAATAAGTTGGTCACTCAACCCACGACTGTTTGTGGGACGTTGCTGTGTGCCATTGGCGGACACGTCTTGCCCACAAAATACACAAATATACTTTACAGAATATTCTGTGAAGGGCTTTGAGACGTCTTAAAGACGTGATAAGGCGCTTTTAAATCGCTTTTAAATCGCCTAATACTTTCTAGCATTTCTTATGTTCTTATGCTCTAAGAGGACTGGCGCTTAGCAACGGATTTCTGAAGCTTATTTTTAAACGTGGAGACACAAATGCCTCTGGTTCCGTTTCTCATCGGCTTCAGAAACGGTTACTCCTACCTCTGGAGTAGGAGGGCTGGTGAGCAACACTGCAAACAGTAGCCCCACATCCGATGAAGTGATTTATTTGCTCTCAAAAAATATCCCGTGAAGCACTTTGAGACGCCTCGAAGACATAATAATCGAACGCAAGGGATTATTATTAGTATTCGACTGTGTCCAGGAGAAGACATTTCACTAAAACTAGAACTTGCATTTACGCAGCGCTCCCCTCATGCAAAGTAGTGCCCCAGAGCACTTGACAGTGGCGGAGAATGACGCTGAGCCGGGTTGGGGAGGAGAGGGTGGGGGGGGGGGGGGGGGGAGACCTTAGGCACGGTCGAAGAGGAAGGGACCTGGAGATGAGGAAGGAAGAGATTTTGTTGGATACTCCTTTGAGAGCAAATGGAAGTATAAGCCTAAGGTTTCGAACCCGGGTCCTCTCGCTTGCGAGGCGAGCGATCTGAGCCCCTGAGCTACAGATAAACGCATAGCTGGCATGTTCACACTCTTACACACACCCTGAACCCGCGTTTCCTCTGGTTAAGTGTTACAGTTACAGCTGTGTCATGCCTGCCTCTTCTGTAAGCTCAATTGCACATAGCAATGTCCCGCAAGTGGTATTGCGCAAATTCCACAAATAATCTGATTGCAAAAAAAAGAGAAGGGAGTTTCCACACAGAGCCTAATAATAATCCCTCCAAAACCAAAAACAATAATAAATTGGTCATTTTCAACCTACGACTGTTTGTGGGACACTGCTGTGCGCGATTGGCTGCCGCGTTCGCCCACAAATATACAGTCAATTCACTTTACAGTGTGTTCTGTGAAGCGCTTTGGGACGTCCTCCCGACGTGAAAAGCGCTATATCAAACGCAAGGATTATTATTATTATTATTATTTCCCTCTCTCAATGTCCTGGCCAACAATCCCCCAGATAAAATCAGACAGTCACTTCACTTCAGTGCGCAAAACGGGCCGCTGCATTCGCCTTCAAATACACAGTCACTACACTGTCACTACACTTTGCTTTTGGTCTTGTGAAGCTGTTTGAGATGTGCTCACACTATAATATGAAAAATATTAGATTATTACATAACTTTATACTATGATTATAAACATTGCATTGCAGAATTAAGCATATATTATAAGTATGTAATTGCATAGTTTTAGTAGGTAACATGAGTGCTGAGTAAGGCATACGTATGAATAAACAAAGCCCGGATATTGACAGCACGATGACTTAAGTGGTAGTAACAAATTAGGCCCATAAGTCAAGCTCTGAGACGATACCCTGCGTGAAGGGCGCTAAATACGCGCAAGTTGTTGTTGTTGTAACACGTCTTCGAGAAGTCTCAAAGCGCTTCACAGGATACACCGGTAAAGTGTCGCGACTGTGTGTGTTTTGTGGGCGAAACGTTAGTTAATATATAAACATCAGGAGCCCTGTCGCACTCAGTGAGAGTGAGAGCACTCGCCTCGCAAGCGAGAGGATCTTGGTCAGGGCCGGGCAAGTCGGGTTCAGGGGCGACATGTTGGGCAAGTCTCCTTACTCCACCCGCGCGCACCCCTCTGTTTGCTCAGCAGGAAGTAGCAGCCCCGTTGTCAGCCGACTCTGGCGGATTGCTTTTACGGGGTTTTAATAAAAGAAAAACAACAACAATAATAATTAGGTCACTCAATCCACGGCTGTTTGCGGGGACGTCGCTGGCCGCGCGGTCACTGCGCTTGCGGGCGAAACGCTGCAGCCGATCGCTGCCCCCGCAAACAGCGGTGGGGGTCGAGCGACCAATCATTATTATTATTATTATTATTTTTACAGGTTTTTTTTGGGGGGGGGGGACGGGACGGCTCCGTTGAAACGCAACCCGAGGGCTGCATTTCCCGCGGCCGCGTTCCGCCCGCAATGCACCGCAGCCGTTACGCCTTTGCGGCGTAGCCCGGGAAGCGCTTTTGAGCTTTGAGGGCGTCTTGAAGACGCGACGAGGGTCGGGGGGGTGGTGGGGGGGGGGGAGGGGGTGGGGGGGGGGGGGGAGTGTGGGTGGGGGTCACCACACGGGAGGGAGGACTGTGATGATGATTACGACAGAAACGTCAGTGGACTGTGTTATTGTGGTCTCTCTCTCTCTCTCTCTCTGTCGCTCCGCCCCCCGGGGGGAGGGGCGCGACTCTGACAGACAGCCGCATCGGCCAATCAGCCGCGCGATCGGGGGAGCGGGCGACCAATCAGCGCGTAGAATGAGGGAGAAATGGGGCGGGACCTCCCTCCGTCCCTCCCTCCCCCCCCGCCCGCCCGCCACCGGGAGACCAAACCGCCGCCTACCGGCCCCAGCGACCCCTCAAACCCCCGGTACCGAGCGGGGAAGCTCTCCTCCCCCCACCCCCACTCGCGTCCCGCGCCTCCCGAGCGGGTGCAGAAGCCGTTGTAAAGCCGCTTACTCTCTCCGACGACGGCCTTCAGACCCACCGGCGCCATCTTGTTTTCCGTGGCCACGCGCGTCACTTCCTCCCCGTGACGTCGCGGCGAGGGCGGGGACGGCGGGAGGGGGCGTGGCCGGTCGACGTCAGCTGTCAATCATTTCTCCCCCCCCACAGTGTGTGTGTGTCTCCCATTCATAAATGATAACACAGGATACACTGTAAAGTGTAGTGACTGTGTGTGTGTGTGTGTGTGTGGGTCTCCCATTCATAAATGATAACACAGGATACACTGTAAAGTGTAGTGACTGTGTGTCCGTGTGTGTCTCCCATTCATAAATGATAACACAGGGTACACAGGGTAAAGTGTAGTGACTGTGTGTGTGTGTGTGTGTGTGTGTGTCTGTGTGTGTGGGGAGTGAGGTTTCGCCCCGACCTGACCTAACCCGGGAATCGAACCCGGGTCCCCCCCTCTCTCTCTCGCTTGCGAGGCGAGGGGTCTGACCCCCTGAGCTACAGGGAGAGACTCCCTCCCTCTCCTTCCGATTCCCCCCCACCACCCCCAGGACACACACCCACAGACACACACACACACACACACACAAACAAACGTTTGCTCCAACACGTTTCAAAGTTTTAAGAAGTCCTAAGTTTTTATTTGAAGGGTGTTGGGGGGGGAAATAAAATAAAACTGACAAAGACTCGAGGGAGGGATGGGGTGGGATGAGGGGAGGTCTGGGAGGGGGAGGGGGGAGGGAGGAGAGGCCGAGCGGAGGGGGGAGGGAGGGGAGGATGAGGATGAGGGGGGGGATCACTTCTCAGCAGATGTCTGAAGCTGTAGTTCCCGCAGAAGCTTTTCTTCCCTTTTTGTCCTCATCAGTTCTTTGAAGTCCTCCAACTCTTTCCTCTGTGGACGAGGGAGGGGAGGGGGCGAGGGGAGGGGGGGGGTGGGGGTAGTGGGAGAGAGGGTGGGAGGGGGGTATTTGGGAGAAGAGGGGAAAAAGACTTGCATTATCTTTGGCTTTGATCGCCGGGCGCAATGGGCTGCCTCGTTTCGCCCACAAAACACACGCACACAGTCACTACACTTGACGGGGTGTCCCGCGAAGCGCTTTGAGGCGTCTCGAAGACGTGATGAGGTCACACACCGGGGATTATTATGGCTGTTATTATGATTCTGATCGTGTGTAGTATAGTGACTGTGATTACGATTGTGATTCTGATTACGAATGTGATTATTATTGTGATTATTATTGTGATTATTACTGATTATTATTGTGATTATTATTGTGATTATTATTGATTATTATTGTGATTATTACTGATTATTATTGTGATTATTACTGATTATTATTGTGATTATTATTGTGATTATTATTGATTATTATTGTGATTATTATTGATTGTTATTGTGATTATTACTGATTATTATTGTGATTATTATTGTGATTATTATTGATTATTATTGTGCTTATTACTGATTATTATTGTGATTATTATTGTGATTATTACTGATTATTATTGTGATTATTATTGTGATTATTATTGATTGTTATTGTGATTATTACTGATTATTATTGTGATTATTATTGATTATTATTGTGCTTATTATTGTGCTTATTACTGATTATTATGATTATTATTGTGATTATTATTGTGCTTATTATTGTGATTATTACTGATTATTATTGTGATTATTATTGATTATTATTGTGATTATTATTGTGCTTATTATTGTGATTATTACTGATTATTATTGTGATTATTATTGTGATTATTGTGATTATTATTGTGATTATTATTGTGATTATTATTGTGATTATTATTGTGATTATTATTGATTATTAATTGTGACGCGACAAAGCACCATAGAAATGTACGAAACAAAAGCCGTTTTGTTTGTGTTTACCCCTCCGTCCATTGCACTCCCAATTCATCGCGCTCCCGACTCCCTACTCTTTCGCCTCGAATGCCCTTCCCCTGCAAGCAACCGGCTTTTATCGAACTATAAAACGAATGAAGGCGACAAGAATAAATATCCAGTGTATGAATCAATCAATCAATCAATCAATCAATCAATCAATCGGAGAAAAGGGGCCTATCAGTTTGCAAACAACAAATTGGCTGCCACGTTTGCATTAATACAGTCGCTACACTCTACAGAAGATCCTGTGAAGGCGCTTATAGAGACATGAAAGGTGCCGTACAAAATACACGGATTAATTAAATCATCGTTATTATTATTCTCCATAAACTATTAAGCGATCCTTTATGCTGCTGCGTTGTAGTCACAAAGCACAAGATTAGGCTCGAGAGAAAGAGAGAGAGAGAGAAGGAGAGAGAAGAGAGAGAAAAAAAAACCATATAAACGCTGGGTTTAATCGCCCCTTTGTCAACGCGCTAAACTAAGAGGAAAGCAAAAAAAAAAAAAAGCAGTTCACCACAAGCAGAGAAAGAGCTTCGTTGACTTAAACGCGTAGAAGTCTCTTACTTTATACAGAAATTCAGAGGGTAAGTCACCACCAGCCCTGCCCGCCGATAATTCCCCCGCCTTGTACACCGCTCGACACCCAGGTGCCTAAAACAGACACAGGGGCTTTGATCATCTTTAGTCAGTTCCTTTTCCCACCCCCACACCCCCCCCACCACCCCGTCCACCCCCTACCCCCGCAAGAACGCACTGCGTTTACCTAATCCCAGAGAACGTCAGGCACAGGTTTGGCAAGAGCCGAGGCTCGGCGGTGTCGGCGGCGGCGGCGGGAGGGAGGGCGGAAGAGAAAGAAGAATAACTGCCGGAGATTAACCAGCTAAGACGGCGCGACTTGCTGTGCTACACTTCGGGCTCGGTTAACTCCCGAACCTGGCGCCGTTTCTGCACGAACCCGTCTCCGCCTTAATTCCAGCCGGGCCGAGCCTAAATCAACACAAAATGACAGCCGCGCAGCGCCTTTCACGCCAGGAGGACCGCCCTGTGAGCAATCCAGAATTCTGGGTTGTTTTGAGGCGAGCAAAGAAAGGAAGGGGGGGGGGGGGGGGAAATCGGCAAATGGGTCGCTGGGTTGGTTGTGAGCGGGCCCGAGCTCGCGCTGGAGTGGGGGGGGGGGTAATAATCCATCACACCAAAATAAAATAATAATAATAATCTGGTCACTCAATCCACGACTGTTTCCGGGACACACTGCTGTGCGCAATTGGCTGCCGCGTCTCGCCCGTACATAAAATACAGTCACTTCAGTTTGCGGCGGAGGTGCGTTTGACGTGCTAAGGCGCGGTATCAAATGCAAATGCTATTGTCATCATCATTATCATCGTCATCACCATCATCATCATCAAATCTTTCCCTCTATCCCTGGGCCTCTTGACTGGCGTTCCCCCTCGCTTGCCCACCGTGACACTGATTAACGCTGCACGCTCCCGCTTCGGCGCCCCGAACGATCATCATTTTATACCTTAATCTCTCGCTATCGAACGGCACAGCCACGCAAGCCAGTTCAGGCACCGCGCCTGACATATTGCCCACTCGAGACGCTCCCGAGGAGCTGAATTCACACCCCTACCGAATAATATCCGACGCGAATGCAACAGGAGACGCAAGGTTTAGCTCTTGATATCGTTCCCCGCGGAGCCACTTAAAATAAAGTCAAAATTCGGATGATTACTAATCCTTTGTGTGGTGGGGGGGGGCTCATAAATAATAACCCGACTGAAAGGAACCTGCAAAGTGATTCGCAACGCCACCTCACCGCGAGAACACAGCTTTGCACTGTGATGCTGAATGTTAAATTCCGTCACCGGCTATTTATACCTTTTTTCGCTTAAGCAGTAATTATTTTTTATTATTAGGCGCAGGCTGGCAAGAGCCAAGGCTTGTTGGGGGAGGAGGAGGGGGGGGCAGAGAGGAGCCCAGCGTGTCCGTTGGGGGTAACTGCTGATGTCTAACCAGCTAAAACCGTATAGCTTGACCATTGAGAGCGCTGTCTGGTAAGCTTTCCCGCTGCTTGTCCAGCTCGGACCACCCTTTCTACCCTGTCTGTTAGGGTTTTGGCTGCAGGTTTAACAGAAGCTGAAGGGGAAGATTCCCTGCCCCTCCCCTGGTGACTGGTCGGCCCTTCCAGGTCCTGCCGAAGAGCCAGGCCGGGCTGGGCTGTCATCAGCATCGAGTGCCCTGGAATACTGAGGACCCTCCTGGCTTAGGAACCGGGACTAGAGACCGTCACGAAGGGTCTGTGGCTCGATTCCCACATTCCATTGAGCCATAACAATAACAACAATAATAATGATGGGGGTCTTTCCTTCCCAAAGCAGAGGTAGGGTCCACCCACAGGGAAAAGACTTAGAGGCTTAAGAGGAATTTCGTCCACAAAATATACAGTCAGTTAATCCACTTTACAGTCCTGTGGAGCGCTTTGAGACGTCACGAAGACGCGATAAGGCGCTGTATCAAACGCAGGGCCGATTATAAATTGGTAGGATGGATTCCAATGGCTCAGAGTGGCTTCCGCTCTTATCTGGCTGCTTGCGGGCAAAGCATCGCAGCTTCGGGATGATCAGCGGGGAAAGGGTGGGGGGAAAGGAAAGGGATTGCCAGGGTGGAGGAGGGGCGGGAGATATATATATATATTATATATATAATCCCCACACGGCCAGAAAAGATTCAGCTGCGATGAACCACAACCTCAATCACCTCCATTCTAAGTGGGTGGTGTGGGGGGGAGAGAGAGGGTAGACGGGGGTTATTTTGGTTGGATGCTACATCATTGGCGCCTTTCGACTACTGACTGAATATCTTAAGGGTTAAGTCACCAATTAACTAGTGGCCGCTTTGACGGACTAAGAGATAAACCGATCCGACCACTTCTCCCAATGGCCGGCGGGGGGGCGGGGGGGGGGGGGAAACGAGGAGAACGGCGAGGAAACCCGGTCGCGTGCGGTGTCGTTTCCCACCGTCTCTCAACGAAACCGGCGCAGACAGAATATCCGATAACAGATAACGACGAAAAAAAGGGGGTAAAGTAATTAAAGCTCTTTCGGAGGGTGGTGGTGGTGGTGGTTGGGGGGGGGGGGGGGGAGGGTGGGGAAGCCCCCCCCCGACACACAACCCCACCCCCCCCCCCGCCCCTCTCAAAAGCGAAGAGATTTTTTGGCGGAGGGGGCCGTGGCGTCAATCAAGTTCTCTCGGCTCCCGAGCATGATTAGCGGGTAGGTTTCAGATTGCTCTCCTGCGCCGCCCGCCCTTTCATTTCCTCTCCTCCGCTTGCGGCTGGTAGCAGCACCTGGGCGCCTCCCTGTCCTGCATCCGCTGGTCCTCTCTGCCCTCCTGCGGGGGGGCCCCGCCCTCCGCTGCGAACCCCCGGTCCAAGAGCAAGTGCTGGCAGCCCCCCGGCCTCTTGTCCCTGTCCTCCGGGATCTCCTGGCTGGTGAAGTGCCTCATGGCCTCCCAGATCCGGCACAGGATGTCTTCCTTCTCCCCCTCGTTCTTCTGCTGCCGCCGGTTCTTGATGGCCTCCCAGTTCTTGCGGAGCCTCTCCTTGCGCTGCTCGTCGGACTCCTGCTCCCGACGCTTCTTGATCCCCGTCCAGTTCCGGCGCAGCCTCTGCTCCCGCTCCTCGCCCGACTCCTCCTGACGCCGGACCTTCGTCGACTCCCAGTTGCGCCTGAGCCTCTCCTCCCGCTGCTCCAGGGTCTCCAGCTGCCTCCGGCTCTTGATGGACTCCCGGTTGCGCCTGAGCCTCTCCTCCCGCTGCAGCTCGGTTTCCATCTCCCGGAAACGCTTCATGGCTTCCCGGTTCTTGCGCAGGCGTTCCTCCCGCTGCTCTTCCGTCTCCATCTGCCGGCGGAAGCGCATGGCCTCCCGGTTCTTCCTCAGGCGTTCCTCCCTCTGATCCGCCGTCTCGTCCTCCCGGTGCTTCTTCATGGCCTCCCGGTTCTTCTTCAGCTTCTCCTCCCGTTTCAGGTCCACCGCCTGCTTCTCGGCCAGGAGCTCTCCGATCACTGGATCTTTAACCGAAAAGAAGGCCAAACGTTAGTTAAAACAGACGCCCGCCGTGGCACGTGCAGTAGGTCAGGCAGCATCTGCGGAGAGGGGAAAGTGAGTCAAAGTTTCAGGTCGATGATCTTTCGTCACAACTGGGGGGTGTCGGAAGGGAGCAGATTTTAAAGACACAAGCAGAGAAAGCGGGGGAGGTGGGGGTGAGGGTGGGGGAAAGACAGACAACAGAAACATCTAGGTAGAGGACAGGAGATGGCAAGACCTGCAAGAGAAGGCAACAGTGGGAGATTACAGAAAGAAAAGACGTATCTAAGACCCAGAGGGTGTGTGAATGGTTATAGAAAAGGGGGAGAAGGTGGTGGTGGTGGTGGGGGGGGTGGTTAGGATTAGGTAAGGCTGAGAGAAGATGGGAGCTGTGGTTAAGGCCTGAAGTGATTAAAATCAATGTAGAGGCCAGAGGGCTGTAAGGTGCCGAGGAGGTAATAATAATAATAATAATAATAGACGAACGACAGCAACAAGTTTGTACAGCGCCTTTCACGTCGGGAGGACGTCCCAAGGCCCTGGACAATGAGGTTCTGTTCTGCGAGTTTGCTCCGCTAGTTAACGAATCAATATAGTTACAGCATATTCTGTGAAGCGCTTTGAGACATCTCGAAGACGCGATACGGGGCTTTATCAAGTGTGAGGATTATTATTATTATTATTATTACGTCGATGCACGGCTGTTTGTGGGACGCTGCTGTGCGCAATCGGCTGCCGCGTTTCGCCAGCAAGATATACAGTCACTACACTTTACAGTGCATTCTGCGAAGCTCTTCGAGAGGACTCGGAGATGTGATAAAGCGCTGTATCAAATGCAAGGATTATTATTATAAGTTACTGCACCAATTGTTAAGAGTTCTGGCATTTGGTACAGAGCCTGTGCGTCTTGAAGTGCTTCTCTGTAAAGTGTAGTGACTGTGTGCAAACGAGATTGGACAGATTTACTTTAACGCAGAGAATTAGTGCATTTTTAGATTCTTTATCGCATCGAATAACGATAATCTTTGCATTTGGTAACAACAACAACAAAATGACATTTGTAGAGTGGCTTTCGCGGCGGAAGGACGCCCCCAAGGGGTTGGACAATCAGTGTTTCCAATGCCTTTCACACCAGGAGGACATCCCGAAGAGCTTCACAGGACGCACTGCAAAGTGTAGTGACTGTGTGTTTTGCAGGCAAACGTGGCAGCCAATTGCGAACGTCGCAAACACGCAAGAGTCTGAGCTCAAAGATCCCTACGAGGGGTTCGAACCCACAGCGGTCTCATTAAGACAGAGGCAAAGGTGCTGCCCATTGAGACACAAAATGGTTGGAAACGAAGAAGCTGTTAAAAATAACTGGTTCCCTTCACCGCTCTCCACTTACCTCACCCGCCCACCCACCCGCCCGCCCACCCGCACAGACACACACCACACACGTTCGCTTAAAACAGCCGTGCAGAAAGTTTGAAAAAAAAAGGTAAGAGTATAAATTAAAATCTCGCTTCTCTTTTTGAACAGTGTAAAGGCACTGGTGATGTCCACCTGGACAGGCAGCAGCTCGGACCTTGGTCCAACGGCTTGAATAACGGCCCCCGAACTCGGTGACAAACGCAGTCACCAGTTAAAAGGCACGTGTGGAAGCGCGAGACCCCACACCAATTCCAATTTCTTTTCTTGTGGTCAAACAGTACATTTTTTTAAGACGCTGAACAACAAGTGGCCGGTTAACTCACTGTATTTTAATAACAATCCTACAATACCTGCGTGGGGCGCAGCATTTTATCGCCCCGCTGTGCCTCACAGAATATACCGCAAAGCGCTTCACACTGTAAAGTGAATTGACCGTAGTTTGTGGGCGCAATTGCGCACACAGTGTCCCACAAAGCGTTGACTTGACCAAATCATTTTATTTTTTTTTTAAAGGAAGGGATTATTACCCCCAGAAAGCCCATTCGCCAGTCGACTAACAACCGGATTCCTGCTGACTGCCAGGTACACAGAGGCGTGCTCGTGGTGTAAGGAAACTTGCATAAGGTTTCTCACTGACCGGGGAATCGAACCCAGGTCGTTTCGCTTGCAAAAGCGAGCGCTCCGAGCACTGCGCTGGGGGACGACAACATCAGTCGCAAAAAGAACAAGATGCATTGCTCACTTGTGCTCCCCAGAGAGGAGTACTTCACTTGTAATACATCATCCAGAATTGCCTCTTACTAAATCCCTTCTGCTCAGCCCTTCCGCCAACTATAACCATCATATTTTCGGATTTCACGATGTATACCAACCGTTCACAACTCCGGGATACCCCAATAATAATAATAATAAGCCTTGCATTTGATATAGTGCCTTTTCACGTCTTCGAGCCGTCTCAAAGCGCTTCACAGAATATACTGTGAAGTGAATCGACTGTATATTTTGTGGGCAAAACACGCAAAATCACGATTAAAAAAAAATAACCTGAGCCCTTGCGATACGAGTCGATGTCAATGGATTGAAAGCGTCTCAATAAAACTACGAACAAAAGGTCAACGCTGACAAGTAAAATGCCTTACCCTGCAGAATTGGATGGCCTTTTAAAGAAAGCTCAGTCATAGTTCTTCTGAGGTGATCCCAATCTACAAAAAATTGAAAGATAAAAGAGATTACCTCAGGGAGAAACCCTTTTACACCAAGCTTGCTTGGTTTCAGAATCTCTGCACATCACAGAAATGTACAAAGCGTTTGCTTTCAAAAAATCCAATCTGCCACATCTCTGCTGACTTTAATGCTGGAGGGAGTAAATTCCGCCCACTCTTTAAATGTGGAGTCCCGTGGCCAAGTGGTTAGCTCCCTCGCCTCGCAAGCGAGAGGACCTGGGGACCGATTCCCCGGACAGGTCAAGGCGAAAAGTTGGGCAAGTTTCCTTACTCCACACACACACACACACCTCCGTTTACATAGCAGTAACCCGATTGTAGGGTAACCCGATTTCAGCGTCTCAGACCCTCTCTCCGTAGCTGCTGCCGGACCTGCTGCGTGTTCCCAGTGACTTGTATTTTTATTTCAGATTTCCAGCATCTGCAGTAATTTGCTTTTCACTTCACAGTCTATCCTGTGAAGCGCTCCGAGACGCCTCATCACGACGTGATAAGGCGCAGGATCAAATGGCAAGGATTATTATTCCGTCCACTACAAATCCAGAGCGTTTTGAGTTCAGGAAATCTCACTGTAGACGGGGTGTGCATGACTGCGCCCAAATTGCCGTGATGGTGCCAACTTGTGCCACTCTCCCAAGTGGTTCCCCTCTGCGCCTAACGTAAGCCCAGATAATGAGCAGCATCTCACACAGCAATACCTGGACAAGATGATTTATTCAACCACGGGTCACAGTCAAGCAACAATCACTCAACAGCCGCGCTGATCGAAAGCAGTACGTTTCCTGGCTGATTTTACGCCCCCCCCCCTTAGCCCAGGGACACCATGGCAAACCGTCACCTAAATATTGGCCATTACGTTAACATTTTTAAAAAAAAACTCAACAGCTTTGAGAAAATGTACACATTTGTTGACGTGCTTTATTCCGTTTAATTGGTCCGCTCTTTCGTTTTAATCGCTCCCTCCTCCGGGTTTATTATGTCATCAAAAGTGGATTGTTTCTTTAAACATTTACAACTCGCACATAATAAGGTGACTTGGCTGAAACGTCCTGCCTTTGCCTTTTCACCTTCACGTCAGTTGCAGTCGAAATGCAAGGTGAAAGAAAGAAAGAAAGAAACTGGAGCGATTGAAGGAATTTGGACCTGAAAGGATTGATATTTAATAGTGGGTTTCGAATCCCACGGGCAATTTTTAACAAAGTGTGCACCATTACGCAATCATAAGTTAGCCAAGTGGTCAGGGAGTGGCAGAGGAGAGTTGCTCTATGAAATGGCAGTACGAAGTGCTGCTCTACATTTAGTTAAGATCTTTTATGCTTTGTCTTTTTAGTACTGCTTTCGGCAGTTGCCTTTGTGTGCAACTTAGTTCTGCACTAAACTTAATTCACGATTAGCATCTGGTGCTTACGCATTTGGGTTCTGCTTTTTAAAAAGATAAGAATAATTTGGTCGTTCAATCCGCGACTGTTCGTCTCAGTCCCACATTGCTTTCAAAAGACAGATATCAAAACTGGAGTAAACAACAAGTGTGTGGGAGTGGGGGAGAAAGGGCAGGTAAATGGCACTGAAAGGATTGCTCTTTAAAAGAGTTGGCACGGACGCAATGAGCCAAATGGCCTTCTGTGTTGTAAATTTCTATGGTTCTATTTAGTTAAATGCTTCCAAAAATCACCGAGAGACCAGGGAAAGTATTTCTGGAATCTATTCCAATGATTTCACCCACCGGCCCTTTAATTTAAAAAAAAAAAAACTGTTTTGGACATTTCAAGGAGGAAAATGAAGCTTACCATAAAGCATTAGATGACCATTCGAAGACAGCTCATTCATTGCCTCTTGAGTGATAATCCTGTCTCTATAAAGAAAAGCCCTGGAAATATTACCTTCTCACAGTTTGCAGAGCTAGATTTCGAAACATACTGTATATATGTGAACAAAAGATTGGCCCCTTGTTTTGCCATATTTTCTACTTTAAAAAAAAAGATTCCTTCAAACCACTTGTGCCACTTGTGCCTTCGATCACCCCAGCTCTGTGTCCCACTCGCTTTGAGACACCTTTTTTTAAAAAACCACAATACCACACATATTTACATTTACACCGCGCCTTTCACGTCAGGAGGACGTCCTAAGGCACTTTGTAATCCTGGCCTGGAGCCGATGTGGGAATGGGGTGGGGGGGGGGGAAAGATGACTGAACGTGCTATCAAAAGGTAGGTCTTGAGATGGACCTTGAACGACGACAACTTGCATTTATATAGCGTCCGTCACGCGGGATAATGTTCCAGAGCGCTTGAGTCTAACCCTGAGCCGGGGGGGGGGGGGGGGGGAGAGGGATGGGGGAGGTGACCATAAGCACGATCAAAAAGGAAGGTCTTTGGCCGGGATTTGAAAGTGGGGAGGGAGGTGGCAAAGGTGGAGGGAGCGGGTGGCGGAGTGAGGTGGTGGGTAAAGCAAGTGAGCGAGACAAAGGGATTCTAGGATGGATCCAGAGGTGGGGGGTTCTTCACAAGGGGCTCCGACTAATAGACACGTACCCAGTTGTTATAAGTCTAATGTGGCCCAGTGTTTGTTGACGGAACCAGTAAAATTACTGCCTGCAGACACCAGAATTAGCTCCAGGTCAAACTGGTTGCCCAATGAACGTTCCAACAGCCACTCGCTCCGTTACCTGTCTGCCCGGCCCGTAAACGTCGTTGGGCAGGGATGGCAACTTCCAGTCAAGAGCAGAGTCGCTGCCCTGGTGAAGGGCACTGTAGAAATGCAAGTTGTTGTTGCGAGGATAGAGTTTGGACAGAATCAGATATATGCTAGGAGATCAATGCCACCGTGGACGGTTGCATTAACCTCGGCATTGATGGGATTCCCTGGTATATAAAGCACAGGCAGGACTGCAGTGACACAGAGGTGCGCCCACTACAAATAAAACACAGTCCAGGCCTTCCCCACCTCAACAGGACCCCACTCCACTTCGTCCCTTGCACTCTCCCATGTAATCTCCTCTAATCTCAGTGCCCCGCCTTTCCACTTCGTCCCTCAGCATTGTTCGCCTCCAAATACACCGCCGCTCCACTTTACTGTAAATCCTGTGAAGACGTACTTCCGCTGTGAAAGGCGCTATACCAAAAAGGAAGGATTATTGCTTTTGTTTTATTGTAACCCGCGATAAAGTATTCTTTTTGTCCGAACGATCCCTCCGGATTAATTGGTCACTCACCAGACAGGGGTTGAGACTTTCCTGTGTTAAGTGGCTGCTGCGTTTGCTTACACTGTACAAAGTAGTCACTACCCTTGGCAGTAATAGCTGTGAAGCGCTTTCAGACGTTTCAATGTTATAAGACAGCGAAAGCTGGGTCATTCTTACTCTCATAATATCCATTTATAAAAAATGTGGTCACTCCATCCACAACTGTTTGTGGGACACCGCTGTGCGCAATTTTTTGGCTGCCGTGTTTCGCCTACAAAACATAGTGAATTCACTTTAAAGTATATGCTGTGAAGCACTTTTGAGACGTCTCAAAGATGTGGTTAGGCACTATATCAAATACAAGGATTATTATACATAAACACTAGGTATTTAAACACTTGTTACATTAATTCATACAGGAATTAAAACAAGGCTAATATTTTTATCATTGGTTTCTTCCCCTAAAAAGCACGGACTCTCGAGGTTAAAATATATCTACATACATTGCTTCAAAATGCCCATTATTGAAGCCAGTGCCAATACTTGACTGGACCACAGATAAACCCATCCTGTCCCCATATATACCAGCAAGTGTGCACCTTCAGGGCAGGGCACTGGATAGTTCCTCTGCTCATCGAGTGTCAGGACACAACCTTCATTTTAACCTGTCAAAGAGCCAATTACTTTCTAGTTTAAATACACACTCACTACACCCCACAGTAAAAACTTGCGAAGGGCTTTGAGACGCCTCGATGATGTGATAAGGCGTTGTATCGAATGCAAGGATATACAGCAGTTAATTAGCGATCAGCACAACACATAGATGAAAGGAAATTGCACTCGGCCAAAAAAAGACTTACAGTAGTCAGAAAGGGAAAAACTGAAATGTGCTGTTAATTAATTTGTAATTATGGAAGGAAATTTGTCAGAGGGACTGCAAATTCGACAATTCACCACAGGGGGAGGAACAAGAATAGATTCTAACCAGAAGTCACCACAAAAACACTCACAGAAAAAAAAAGGATAAATAACAACAACTTGTGCTTATATAATGCCTTCCATTCAAAGTGTGAAGGACGCTATACAAATGCAAGTTGTTGTTGTTGGGTTAAAATCTACATTTAAAGGGGAAAAAAAGTCACTCTTATGAAGGTGACACATAAGTCAAATTCACGTGACTTCAGAAACGCAAACTGTTTTGAGGACATGAGTTCAGAAAGGTGGAAAGTACATGCAAAGTAAGTAGTGATTACATTTATTTCCACTTCCTCTCTCCAATTACCAATTTACTCCATTTGACTTCCCCTTCCTTTTGTCTCACGCTCTTCCTTCCCATCTCCACCCGTTTAAGATTATTTTTGGAAATACGTTGAAAAAAAATGCTTCCCACGACTCACCTTACTGTAAAAATCATATTTCTCACATTTCATAGAGAACTATAATAATAAGGCTCACATCTGCCAGCACTATATCATGTCAATGGACCATCACAAAGTACTTCACTGTAAAGTTTAATGACTGTTTACGTAATCAAAAACACAAAGGGACAACATATTATTGGGAAGAGGGAGGAAAAGTTTATATATATTTTTTAAAAAAAACAAGGCATGGAGAATTATTATAGACTCCCGATGAGTAAAGCGCAAGATGAAATTTATGTAGAGCGCCTGGGCTCGATAAAGCGTTAGGCATATTTCCTTACTCCACATGCCTTTGTTTACCGAGCAGAAAGTAGGAACCGGGTTGTTAGTCGATTACTGGATTGCTTATTGGGGGGAAAAAGTTCCTTCAAATAAATAAATTGGTCAGTCAACCCACGACCGTTTGTGGGACACTGCTGTGCGCAATTGGCTGCGGCGTTTCGCCCACAAAATATACAGTTAATTCACTTTACAGTATAATTATTTCTGTATTATGAGGGAAAAAACAGTATTAAAAGGGAGAGGATGGGTTGTCCAAGTGCCCTCAGTGTAACTAGCAGCCTCTGTTACTTTCCTGGCCACAGACAACAACAACAATTTGTGTGCGAAACTCGGCTGCCAAAAAAGAAAATAAACAAACAATAACTTGGTCTCTCAATTCATGACTGTTTGTAGGTTACTGCTGTGTGCAATTGGCTGCTGCATTTCGCCCACAAAATATACAGTCCTACACTTTTACAGTATATTCTGTGAAGCTCTTTAAGACGTCTCAAAATAAGGCACTGTATCCAATACAAGGATTATTATTATATTATTATAGCGCCTTTCGAGTCGTGAGCACGTCCTTAATAATAGTACTAATTTTATCTGTATGGGGGGTAAAACCTTAACAGCACATCACATTTACACAGCGCCTTTCACGTCGGGCTGACGTCCGAAGGCGCTGGACAGTCAGGAATGTGAACCCAAGCTGGGGGTTGGGATCAGGAGGTGGGAGGGGGGGGGGGAGTGGAGGGCAGGGAAGGAGGGTAACCCTAAGGCGTGGTCGAAGAGGAGGGTCTCGAGATGGGCCTTGAAGGAGACGAGGGAGGGAGGGAGGGAGCGAGGTGGAGGGATGGAGTTCCAAAGGGTGAGAGTTGACTGTATGTCTGCGGATGATGTCACCAAGTACAACGATGATTAAATAACAATAATTTTTACCTGTATTGGGGTAAAACCAGCTCCAGCTCCAGACACTCGAGGTTCCCACTGTCTCCCTTTTCTTCATAGGAAAAAATAAGGCCGATCTTCCTTGGACAACCCCCCCCTCCCCTCCCCACTCCCTCCCTCCCCCGAAAAAGTTACAGGCCTTTCATTTACTGTCTCACCTTTCCCCTTCCCACCAGTTAATGCGACAGTATCAGACGCTCGAGGCCTTGAGGGGGGGGGGAGAGAGACAGAGGGACAGAGAGATAAAGAGGGGAAGGGAGCTATCAACACCGTCTTCTCCTTCTTTTTCTCCTTCCTTCCTTCCCCCCCAAATTAACTCGACAGTATGAGGCGTTCTAGGCCTTGGGGTGAGAGAGAGAGAGAGAGAGGGAGAGAGAGAGAGAAGGGTGAGGGGAGGGGGGCGGAAAGGGAGCTTTCCTCCTTCTTCTTTTCCCCCCTTTCCTTCCTTCCCTCCTTCCTTTTTTTCCCCTTCTTTTCCCCTTCCTCCTCCCCCCGACACAAAAAAAAATTAAGTCGACAATCTGAGGCGCTCGAGGCCTCGGAGGGAGAGAGAGAGAGAGAGAGAGGGAGAGAGGGAGAGAGGGGGAGAAAGAGGGGAAGGGAGGTATCGACACCGTCTTCTCCTTCTTTTTTGTCCCCCCCTTTCCTTTCTTTTTTTAACCCCCAAAATTAACTCGACACTCTGAGGCGCTCGAGGCCTTGGGGGGGGGGAGAGAGAGGGGGAGAGGGGAGGTATCAACACCGTCTTCTCCTTCTTTTTTTTCCCCCCCTTTCCTTTCCCTCCTTCTTTCTTTTCTCCCCCTTTTTCTTTCCTCTCCTTTTTTCCTTCCCTTCTTCCTTCCCCTTCTCCTTCGCTTTCAAGGAAAACCTTCTCGAAAGGCCGAGCGACCGAAGCGAGAGCCCTGGCGCATGCGCGCTGGGTGGCGGCGGCGGGGGGGGAGAGCGACGACCTCCGCTGGAGGAGTCCGCATGCGCACTGGCGGGGGGTGACGCAACCTCCGCTCGAGCTGGAGCCCTCGGCGCATGCGCGTTCTGGGGGGGCGGGGCACGCGGGCTCCAGGCACCAGACTCGGACGGCGCGTGCGCGTGGGGGGAGGGGCGGGGCGACCCACTGAACGGCGGGTTGGGGCGGGACTCGCGACCGCCGCTCGAGCGGTGGCGCATGCGCGCTGCGCAGTTGGACGAGGCGAGCCCTGAAGCGAGGCTGGCGCAGGCGCGCTGCGGCGGGAGGGAGGGAGGGAGGGAAGGAAAGGGGGGGGACGCTCAAACCCCGCCCCCCCCCCAAACACACGCGCGGGCGCGCGCGCGGGCACCTTCCGCTCGCGCTTGAGCTTCGAGCGCATGCGCGCTGCGGGGGAAGGGGGGGGCACCCGCTCGAGCTCAGCGAAGCTGGGGGAGGGGCGCTCGGCTGGGCAAGGCTGGCGCAGGCGCAGAGAGCGATTCCCTCAACTCCCCTCCCCCCCCCTCCACTCGCTCCAGGGCCTGCGCAGGCGCAGTGAGCCGATTCCCTCACCCGTCTCGCTCGAGCTCCGGGTGGGTGACGGTTGGCAGCGAAGCCGATTTGAAAGTCGGTCGGTCAGTCAGTCAGTCGCGAGCCGGAGGTGAAAGGCCCCCAATAACCCCCAATACCCCCCCCCCTTTATCGTGCTCTCTCTCTCCCCCCCCTCACGGAATGGAGCTGTGCGACAACCTTTTGATATGGGTGAGTAAGTGAGTGATATGAGGGGGTTTGGGGGTGTGTGTGTGTGTGGGGGGGGTGGGGGGGGGGTTGATGTCTCCTCACCACCTCTTCCCCCCCCCCCCCGCCCCTCGGGCTTAATTGTTTGTGCTCTCAGCCCTGACTGAGTGTGTGACGTGGAAGAGAAGAAAGGAGGGGGGAGAGAGAGTGGGGGGGGGGAGAGAGTGGGGTGGTGTGGGGGGGAGAGAGAGAGGGAGGGGGAGAGAGAGGGGGGGGGAGGGAAAGGGGAGGGGGGGGAGGGAAAGGGGAGGGGGGGAGAGAGGGAGGTGTGTGGGGGGAGGGGAGAGAGAGAGTGGAGGGGGGAGAGGGAGAGAGGGAGGTGTGTGGGGGGAGGGGTGAGAGGGGGAGAAAGAGAGTGGAGGGGGGAGACAAAGGGGAGGAGAGAGAGAGAGGGATGTGTGTGGGGGGGGAGATGGGAGGAGAGAGGGGGAGAGAGAGAGTGGAGGGGAGAGAGGGGGGTGTGGGGGGGAGGGAGTGGGGGAAAGAGAGGGGAAGGGGAGAAAAGAGAAGGGGGGGAGCGCGGAGGGCAAGGATGGGGAGGAAGGGGAGTAGAGAGGGAAAGGGGTGGAGAGGGAGGAGTGAGTCATGTGGAAGAGAAGAGAGGGGAGGTGGCGGGGGGGAGAGAGTGGAGGGGAAGGGGACAGCGGCCGGGGAGGGAATATAATATAACTTGTGAGTATCACCTCAGTGCAAGTCCCACACACAATACCCACTCTCTATACAGATGGATATCTCTGTACACCTCCCCCCGGCTCGGAGTCAGGCTCCGCCACTGTTAAGCGCTCTGAGACGCTACCCCGCGAGTTGTTGTTCTTCCCCCACTCTCTCCCCCTCCCTCCCCTCCGCCCGGAAAAGCGATCCGCCAAATCGACTAACAACCGGGTTCCTACTGACTACTATGTAAGGAGTAAGGAAACTTGCCTAAGGTGACCCGGGTCCTCTCGCTTGCGAGGCGACCCCTCTGACCACATATATGTGTGTATGTATATGTATATATATATATATAAAATAATAATAATCCTTGCATTTGATAGAGCGCCTCGTCACATCGTCGAGACGTCTCAAAGTGCTTGACAAGTGAAGTGTAGGGGCTGTGTGTTTTGAAGGCGAAGCAACAGAATATATCCTGTGCAGCGCTTTGTGGCATCTCAACGACGTGACGAGGCTCTATATCGGATAGAAGGATTATTAGTATTCCAACTATTTTTTTTCCCACAAAATAGTCAATCCGCCAAGGCGTATCAAATGCAATGATTATTATTACTACCGTCCCTCCGCCTCGTCCCTTTACCTTGCCCGCTTCAAGAATTATCTGAAGCCCCTCATCTTCGACCATGTTTTTGATCACCCTCCACCCTCCCCAATCCCGACCCCCCCCCCCCCCCCCCCCCCGCTCAGGTCCGAAACACTGATTGTCCAGCAGCTTTGGACGTCCTCACGACATGAAAGGCACTGCACAAATGTAAATAAGACCTCATTTTAAAAAATAAATCATAATTTGGGCACTCATATTGACTGTCCCAGCTCTTTGGAAGAACTATCCAATCAGTCCCACTCTTTTCCCCTATACCCCTTGCATTTTTTCTTTTTCAAGTACCTAGCCACTTAATTCCCTTTTGAAAGTTGTTATTGAATCACCCATTCAGGCAATGTATTCCAGACCGTAACAACTCTCTGGGTAAAAACATTTCTCCTCATCCGCGACTGTTTGTGGGACACTGTGGTGCGCAATTGGCTGCCACGTTTCGCCCACAAAATACACAATCACTACACTACAGTGTATTCTGTGAAGCGCTTTGAGATGTCTAAAACACGTGGTGAGGCGCTGTATCAAATGTAAGGATTATTATTATTCTCTTTTGTCTCACCTCAGCTGCAGACATTTCAGGTACCGGCTTCCTACACCAGTAACATGGAGCTGACCAGTGGAGTGGCTATTGCTCAGGTCCTCAATCAAATGTAAGTTGTATTTCAGAATGTATTCGGTATAGAGCCTGCGATTGAAACTTTCAGCCACTACGCCCCAAAACTCTGGAACACTCTTCTTCTATCCACCTGCCTCGCCCCCTGCTTTCCCATCTTCAGGTTGTGCCTGAAGACCTTCGTCTTCGACTGCGCCTACGTTTACGTCTCCCCTCCCCACGGCTCGGCGATGTGCTCCCGTCATCGTCAAGCGCTCTGGGACGCTACTCTGTGTGAGCGGCGCTGTATATATCGGAGTTGTTGGTGGGTAGATTCAGAACAAAGCTGTGGAAACACTACTTCAGTGAGCAAGTAATAAATGTTTGGAACAGGCTCTCTTGGGAGACACACAGTGGAAGCAGAAAATGTCAATTCTTCAAGAACAAATGAGATAATTTCTGTTATGAAGTAATATCTGGGGATACAGTATATAGTTTGGGACATACATGTGAAGGCAACTGCCAGGATGGTGGAAGGCGACCTGGATGGACCTTGCCTAGCAAATTCTTACGTTCTTATGTAAAGGAGATCAGGGTGTTCATGAGCTTAAATGCTGCATAGTAATGAGCAGTGTCTTGGGGTGGATTCTACTTGCAGGGTGGAGTCCTGTAACTCAGTTGGTTAGAGCACTTGCCTTGCATGCAAGAGACCTGGGTTTGATTCCCGGCGGGGCGAAACCTTGGGCAAGTTTCTTACTGCACACGCCTGATAATAATCCCTCAAGAAAAAAAACAATAATAAATTGGTCACTTCAATCCACGATTGTGGGATACTGCTGTGCGCAATTGGCTGCCACATTTCACCACAAATATACAGTCAATTCACTTTACAGTATGTTACTTTGGGATGTCCTCTCGACCTGAAAGGCGTTGTGTAAATGTAATTTGTTGTTGTTATTTCTTAAGTATTCTGCTTATTTACTCTGCCTATAATCTCTTCTTTAGTGATCCCTCTTGGTTTAATGAGACCTGGTTAGGGCGTATCAAGGAAGATAGCAATGACAACTGGAGGCTGAAGGTACAGTGCTGGACAAACAAAACATATTTGTCTTTCCAAAGGTCCACTTTACTTAAATTAAGCACATGATGTAAAGCAACCAAACAAAGCCTCTGGTGTGGGAACTATTCAGTGCCAGAAAACTTGCAGCACTTGTTATCACATTCTAAATTAAATACAAGTTTGTTTTATTTATTTCCAGAATATCATCTCTTTTTCGATTGTCATTCGGGTAGATTTTAAGGGTTAATTCCTCCCCAAATCCCACACCTAGTTTCTTTTTCCCAGCGCATTGGGATGTCCTCCTGACTCAAAAGGCGTAATATAAGTGTAATATTTTGTTGTTGCTGTTTCAAAAACTCAGCATTATATCGTAATTTGCTTTAGTGCCACAGTTTCAGATTGTGTTTTCTTTAAATTATAATTATCAATGTCACTCTTGATATCAACAGGTGAAATTTGCACCTGGTGAACTTGAATTAGGCTATATCACTTACAAATATTCCCAATGTGACACCAATGTGGAAGGTCTGGATCTATTGTATCACGTTCAATCTCTGAACAAAACCTTTGACCAACCTCGGGTTTATCTGACTGATTCTGTCTGACCGTTCTAATTTCTCATTTACAGGTAAGCAACCTGAAGAAAATCCTTCAAAGCTTGCTAGAATATTACCATGATGTAAGTATCCCTAAACACAGACAAGTACTCCACAAATCACTTAATTCCCTCGCACCTCCCTACCTCTCCGACCTGCTTACCTTCCAACGCCACCTCTCGCTGCCTCCATTCAGCTGGCTCTGGCCTCCTATTTGTCCCTCGCGTGAAACAACGTTATATAAATGCAAGATATTTTTGATTGCAGACCCATCTGGATTTAAAATCCTAACCCATCTGGATTTAAAATAATCCTTGCATTTGATACAGCGCCTTTCACATCTCCCAAGCGCTTCTCAAGGTATATAAAATGCACAGTCAATTCACTTTACAGTTATCCTATGAATCGCTTTGAACCGTCTCAACGACGTGATGGGATACTATGTAAAATGCAAGGATTATTGCCATTATTATATGAATGTTAATAAAGCGGCTTTGAAAACACACCACTGTAGTCCTGAGATATTGTTGATCTCCCTACAGGTTCTGGGTCACCAGGTCTCCGACGACCACCTGCCAGATGTTAACCTGATCGGGGAGCACTCCGACACTATGGAGCTGGGCCGAATGCTGCAGCTTGTGTTGGGCTGTGCGGTCAGCTGCGAGAAGAAGCAAGGTAAATCCCAGCCCACAGGGACACTGCTGTGCGCAGTTGGCTGCCGCGTTTCGCCCACAAAACACAACGGTCAATTCACTTTGACAGTGTATTCCGTGAAGCGCTTTGAGACGTCTCGGACGAGGCGATAAGGCGCGGTATTAAACGGAAGGATTATTATTATTATTTGCCTTTGCAGAATACATTCAGCAGATCATGACCCTGGAGGAGGATGTCCAGCATGTTGTCATGACAGCCATCCAAGAGGTAAGGCAGACAGCCGGATGCAGGTTAACCTGTCCAAAAAAGGGTAACCTTTTCACTGAGCGCCTTGGGTGTCCAACAACAACTTGCATTTACACAGTGCCCCTCGTGCGATCCGCCAATTGAATAACAACCCGGTTTCTACTTAGGTAAACAGCAACAGCAACAAAATTACATTTGTAAAGCGCCTTTCACGTCGGGAGAACTTCCCAAGGCGCTGAACAGTCGGGGATCAGGACTTGAGCGTGGGGGAGCAGGGTTGGGATGAGGAAGGGCAGAGGAGGTAGGAGGGCGGCTGAAAGCACGGAGGCATGTGGATATGGAGTAAGGAAACTTGCCTAACATTTCGCCCCGACCCTGCCCCAGAATCGAACCCAGGTCCTCTCGCTTGCGAGGCGAGTGCTCAAACCACAACGCTACAGGATTCCACTTAAGCTGTTAATTGTTTACTCTCTCTCTCTCTCTCTCTCACTCCTCAGCTTTTAACCAGAGACACTGTGGATTCTGTCCAAAATGATGCATGCAGTGACATGGACTTCCAGGTAACCTTTTACTTTGAAACACTGGGAATCATGTTCTAAGGGGACAAACACGCTGTATCTATTGATAGCTTAACAATCTACCACTGTTCGTGGGCCACTGCTGGGCGCAATTGGTTGCCGCGTTTTGCCCACAAAATATACAGTCAATTCACTTTCCAGTAACTCCTGTGAAGCGATTTGAGATGTCTCAAATATGTGATAAGATGCTATATCAAATGCAAGGATTATTATATCAATTTAGGTGTGGGAGAAACTCAGGGCATGACTCGATCAGGTCAAAGCTGTCCCGTGGCTACCAGTGTCAATGTTTCGTTTTTAACAGTGATTGATCGGAGCAAAGACTAGAATAGTTTCTCAGTGCGATAAAGTGTGTCTTCTCTCCCCGCAGTTGAAGAAATTTAACTTGAGCGACGAAATAGATTCAAAGGAGGAACTATCACAGCGATGCCATTATCTGGATCTGCAGGTGGGCATTCCTAAATGAGCAGAAAGAACTCTTCTGTTAAAATCTATCGAACGCTATTTAGAAGCGAGCCAGTCGGCAATTATGGCTGAGCTGCATTTTATTGACCATGCGTTCTATTTGCGCAGTGTGGCTGGCTTCTTGCTCTCTTTGGAAGGATCCCTGGTACCATGGAGTCCTGCAGCTTAATAGTTAAGAGCACTCGCCTCGCAAGCGAGAAGACCTGGGTTCGATTCTCAGTTAGGGCGAAACGTTGGGCAAGTTTCCTTACTGCACACACGTGCCTCTGTTTACCGAGCAGTAAGTAGGAACCCGGTTGTTATTCGATTGGTGGATCGCTTTTCCGTGGGTAATAATCCCTTCAAAAAATTTAAGAATAATTTGGTCATTCAATCCAAGACTGTTTGTGGGACATTGCTATGCTTAATTGGCTGCCGCGTTTCGCCCACAAAATGCAGTCAATTCACTTTACAGTATATCCTGTGAAGCGCTTTGAGACGTCTCTCAAGACTTGATAAGGGGCTATATCAACAGTGCAATGGGATCACACCATCACTGTGGCGTGCTATCCCATACACATCCAAGCTGGCTTGACTGATGTTTCCTAAGAGTAATTTGTCTAATGCGTTTGCTTCATAAAGGCTAAAGGATAACTGGCCAAATCTCTCTAAGGGTCTCCAGGTGAAGGTAAGTTTAAACCCACAGCTCTCATTCTCTTTCGAAAGAAAAGAGCAGCTCTAACAGTGAATGCTGACATGGTTGCAGCATGTGTTAACATGTTGGCAGCTGAGAATCTGCATGAGCGCACTTTGTATTAACAGTGAAACCTAACCCCCGCTACAGGCATGGCTTCCATTGTATCATGGCTAAATGTCCTTCCAAATGATGCCAACACTATATAATCGTTGTAAGACTGTGTCAAGGTTTGTTGTACTGGTTTAAATGTGTTTCAATGCTCAGCCAGAATAAAAGCGATTAGATTGCCGAGCAGAGCAAAACCTTAGGCAAGTTTCCTTACTCCACATGCCTATTTACCTAGCAGTAAGTAGGAACCCGGTTGATAGTCGATTGGTGGATCGCTTTTCCAGGGGTAATAATCCCTTCCAAAAAAAAAGATAATAATAATGATTTTGTCACTCAATCCACGACTGTTTGTGGGACTCTGCTGTGCGCAATTGGCTGCCTCGTTAAGCCCACAAAATATACGGTTCACTCCACTTTACAATATATTCTGTGAAGGGCGTTGAGACGTCTCGAAGACGTGATAAGGCGCTATGTCAAGTGCAAGGATTATTATCTTGTATACAGCTTTATATTAAAGGGGACGTGCATCATATTGAAGTCATTAACCGCTGCTTGTTAACTGATGTCCATGCATGCAGCTGTGCTGCTAGGTGTTCATAGGTGTCAAAGCTGTGACAATTTTCACGAATGTCCTGTGAAGAGAAAGTGGGTTGGATGGGGAGAGAAGGCAGAGGAGGTTTTATTTGGTTCAATGTCAAGTGATGCCTACTTTTACGTTTTGTGAGGGGAATATAAGTGTTCCTGTGGTCGCTCTAATTACCTAGCAGTAAGTAGGAACCCGGTTGTTAGTCGATAGGCGGATGGCTTAGCGGGAGTAATAATCCCTCCAAAAGAAAAATAATAATAATTTGGCCATTCAATCCACGACTGTTTGTGGGACGCTGCTGTGCGCAATTGGCTGCTGCGTTTCGCTGAAAAAATACGCAGTCGATCCACTTTACAGTGTATTCTATCAAGCGCTTTTAGACGTCTCAACGACGTGATAAGGCGCTGCATCAAATGCAAGGATTATTATTTATTAGAGGGCAAAATGGGCGAGTAGGCAACACACAGCAAACTGGGGTGCCGCCTACTCTTGGTGTCTTTATACTCCTCTCCGCTCCCTCCGCGATTGTCACCATTGCAGGTTTGTCTCCACAGATCGCAGCTCTGCATGACGAGAAGAACAGTCTGGCGTTGGAAAACAAGACCTTGCTGGAGCGAATAAACCGTTCGGATTCCTTCGAGGAGTCCAGCAGCATCACCAACAAGAAGCTCCTGCTGCTGCAGAGCCAGCTGGAGCAGCTACAAGAGGAGAACTTCAGGTCCGTAGCTGGTTCTGGTATTTCTTATACACACTTGCCTACAAACACTCAGTCACTACACTTAGGTGGAGTCCCGTAGAGTAGTGAAACACTACATGTAGCAAATTGGTTAGCCCGCTCGTCTTGCAAGCGAGAAGACCCGGGTTTGATTCCCTGACTGTCCAGCGCCTTGAGACGTCCTCCCGACGTGAAAGGCTCTGTATGAATGTCATCTGTTTGGAACAGGTTAGAAGCAGTGAAAGATGACTTCCGCATCCGGTGCGAGGATTTGGAGAAAGACCTCTTTGACCTTCAACACAGGAACGATGATCTGACCAGCCTGGCGGAGGAATCGCAGTCTTTAAAGGACGAGATGGACATTTTAAGGTGAGTTGTCCCCTTCGCTAGCTAATCCAGTCTCCTCGAGATTTTTGCTCAGTGGTTAGAGCACTCGCCTCGCAAGCAAGCAAGAGGATCCGTTTGATTCCCAGGTAGGGCAAAATCTTAGGCAAGTTTTCTTCCTCCACCTAGTAGTAAATAAGAACCCGGTTCTTAGTCGATTGCCGGATTACTTATCGGGGTGTAATAATTCCTTTAAATAAATAAATTGATCACTCAATCCACGACTGTTTGTGGGACGTTGCTGTGTGCAATTGGCTGCTGCGTTTCACCCATAAAATACAATTCATTTTGCAGAATAGTCTGTGAAGCGCTTTGAGACCCCTCAAAGCCGTAATAAGAAGCGAGATCAAATACAAGGATTAATACTATTGTTGTAATGTTGTTTCCAGGCACTCTTCAGACAGAGTTAGTAAACTGGAGGCAACTGTGGAGGCTTACAAGAGGAAGCTTGAAGATCTAGGAGACTTGCGGAGGCAAGTCAGACTGCTGGAGGAGAGGAACACTGTATACATGCAGAAGACTTGCGACCTGGAAGAGGAGCTGAAGAAAGCAAATGCTGTTCGTGGTCAGTTGGAAGCTTACAAGAGACAGGTAATGTGGAGCTACGGGCTCTGCTTGTTCCTCATAAGTAATTCCAGGCGACAAATAGTATGGGCCTAAGTTTCCTTACCCCGTGCACACACTTCTGTTTACCTAGCAGTAAGTAGAAAACCCGGTTATTAAGTCGATTGCTTTCCAGGGGTAGTAATCCCTTGGTCGCTTAATCCATGACTGTTTGTGGGACACTGCTGTGTACAATTGGCTGCCATTATTCGCCCACAAATACACAGTCAATTCACTTTACAGTATATTCTTTGAGATGTAGTGACAATATGGTAAGGCGCTGTATCAGATATAAGGATTCTTATTGGCTATCTGTGGGGCATTGCTGGGTACAAATTGACTGCCAAGTTCGGCTAAAAAACACAGTCACTCCACTTTACAGTACATCCCGCAAAATGTTTTGAGGCTTCAAACGCGAAAGGCGCCACGTCAAAAGCCAGGATTGTTGTGTTTTCGATGCTGCGACTAAAGCCGAACTTTTATTTCCGCAAATCGGAAGTGCTTTTCTGTTGACTTTCAGTTTGCTTCCCTGACGGCTGGCTTCTTTCTCTTCTCTTCCCCCCTTCCCCGCCGCCCTGCGCCCCTCTGCAGGTCCACGAGCTGCACAACAAGCAGTCCGAAGAGTCGATGAAGGTGGAAAAGTGGCAGTTCGAGTTCAAGCACCTCCAGGAGAAACATGACGCACTGCTCAAAGAGAAAGAGGTGAGGCCTCGGCACTTCTTTCAGGAAGACAGAAGTAGACCGTTTAAGGACATTTTCTTTGGTCAGCCCGGTGTCTGACACACGCGTAATCCCATCTTTATACTCAACAGTATAGTGGTTACTGCGCTCGCCTTGCAAACAAGAGGACCTGGGTTAGATTCCCGGGTGAGTCAAGACAAAACCTTAGGCAAGTTTCCTTACTCCACACACGCCTTTGTTTACCTAGCAGTAAGTAGGAACCTGGTTGTTAGTTGATTGGCGTATCACTTTCTGGAGTTAATAATCCCTCCCTCTTCCCCACTCCCACAAAAAAAAGTCACTCAATTCACAACTGTTTCCAGGACACTGCTGTGCACAATTGGCTGCCGCGTTTTGCTCACAAAAGACACAGTCAATCCATTTTACAATATATTCTAGGAAGCGCTTTGAGGCATCTCAACTGTGTGATATGGCGATATATCAAATACAAGGATTATCATGATATCATAACAGAGAATATGGGATGGCAATCGCTGGATGCTGACTTAAATTCACAGTAAAGTAACCAGCAGTTTTTTTTTCCCCAGAGGTTGATTATAGAGAGAGATGCTCTCAGAGAGACCAATGACGATCTGAGGTGTGCCCAAGTCCAACAGACGTTTTTGCACCAAGCAGGTAAGTGCCTTTTTTTTACACCTCTCTCCCTGTAAGATTCAACCCGCTGACTATAACAGTACAAGCCTCAACTCACAGACCACACTGATGTCCTGTTTCAGTGGTCTCCCCTTGTTTATAATGCTAATAATCCTTGCATTTGATATAACGCCGTTGAGACATCTCAGAACTTAAGAGTCTTGTAGCTCGGTGGCAAGCGAGAGAACTTGAGTTTGATTCCCGGCAGGACGAAACGTTGTGCAAGTTTTCTTGTTCCACACACACGCCTCTGTTTACCTAGCAGTAAGTAGGAACCCAGTTGTTAGTCGATTAGCGGATCTCTTTTCCAGTAATAATTCCTTCCAAAAAAAATAATAAACGTGGATAGTAAACAATCCAGGACTGTTTGTGGGACACTGCTATGCACAGTTGGCTGCCGTGTTTCACCCACAAAATACACAGTCAATTCACTTTACAGTAGGCTAAATCAAACGCAAGAATTCTTAAGATTATTATTATAAAAGCGCTTCACAGAATATACTGTGAAGTGTATTTTGTGGGCGACAAAACCTTGATATCAGTCGTGATCTGAAAAGCTGAATGAACATCTTTGTCCTCCTCAGATGCAGTTTGTGATGAAGAGAATATGTCCATTGACAACCTTGCAGCCGAAATGATTCCCGCAGAGCTCAAGTGAGTCCGTGTAACGCCAGTTATCCCACCACCACCACAACAACAACTTTGCTAGAGCGCCCTTTGTGTGGGGTGGTATCTCGGAGCGCTCGATGCAGTAATGGGGGGCGGGGGGTGGGGGGGAATGGTAGGGTGGATGTTCTGGAGGGATGTGATCAGATGGGCCAAAGGGCCTTCTTCATCCAGACCGATTTTGCGGTATCATTCAGCCCAAACCATTGGCAGGAAAAGCTTTCATCAGTTTTAACTTTAGGCTGTACAAAATCTTGTCCTCGGGGATTTTTTAAAATGAAGATTTTTAATGGGATGAGGATGATGTCTTTTATAATAATAATAATAATACTCTTTGATACAGCGCCTTATCGCGTGTTCGAGACGTTTCCCACCCCTCCTCCTATCATTAACTGCTACTCCTGCCACTGCGTGAAGGGCACTATATAAATGCAAGTTGTTGTTGTTGTTGTTGTATGTAAATGCAAGTTGTTCGTTCTTGTTAAGTGCCCTTTGGCTTTGCTCAGGCGCTGTGTGGGGGCAGTGACCAGGGAGCACCACTAGGGGCTGCAAACGGGTCATCAAAGTCTTCTGGCAGCTGAAATCCCAGGTCTCAAATAAAACTTAACTCACTGCTCAGTTTGGGGGAATTTGGTTGCAATTTGAGTCGTCGAGGCCTGAGATGATGAACGCATGGACGAGGGTTTCGGCTGCGTTTGGGGCTAAAGAGAAGGTCGGTGGCGGAGTTGGAGGAAAGCGGTCCTGGTCAGGATAGTGTGGGAGCAATAACGAAGGCGGGGAGGGAGGAGGCAAGACAGAGGGATTTAAGGAGAGAGTTCCGGGGCTTAGAGGCTGAAGGCGATGGTGGAGCGGAGGGCGTGAGGGAGAATTAGGGAGGCTGGAGCCAGACAAGCGAAGGATTGTGTGCACAGAACGCTGACCTGTAGCGATTGGACTGTCTTTAGGGAGAAGGTCATTCATCTGCAGCATGAGAATAAGGTGCTGCGTCTACAGCAGGAGGAGACGTACAATGACCGGATAACAGAGTTGCAGAGCATCCTCGACGATGCCAACAGGAGCCGACACAAACTGGAGAATGAGAACAGGTCAGTCAAAAGCCCTGATATTAATAATAATAATCCTTGCATTTGATACAGCACCTTATCACGTCTTCGAGACTTCTCAAAACGCTTCACAGGATACACTGTAAAGTGAATTGACTGTGCAATTTCTGGGTGGCAGCCAATTGCGCACATCAGTGTCCCACAAACAGTCGTGGATTCAATGGCCATGTTATTATCATTATTTTTATTCACTCCTTTTTCAGGAGGACAGCGCAAGGACTAAGCTGGGAATCTTATACACACACACACAGACACACAGACAGATCTTGTAGCGTAGTGGTTAACGCTCTTGCGTTGCAAGTGAGAGGAACTGGTTCCCGATTCCTGAGCAGGGCGAACCTGTAGGCAACTCTCCTCACTCCACATGCTTCTGCTTACCTAGCAAAAACATTTGTTCATTCGATCCACGGCTGTTTGTGGGACACTGCTGTGCGCAATTGGCTGCTGTGTTTCGCCCACAAAACACACACAGCTACTGCACTTTACGGCATGTCCTGTGGAGCGCTTTGAGACGTCCTGGGGTGAAAAGCGCTGTATCAAATGTCAGGCTTACTGTACAGCAATTATGATTAATGTGCTCCAGGTTGAATCAGCAACAGATCAATGAGTTGCGGTCGCAAGTGGATCAGCTACAACTTGCTCTACAGGAGCAAGGAAGCAAAGCAGAAGATGTGAGTACCTAAGCTGTACTGAGAGGCTTTGATGTTGGGTGGGTCACTCACTCACTCGGTCACTCACTCACTCACTCACTCACTCACTCGGTCACTCACTCACTCAAAAGTCTGAACGTGTTCTGTGTTGCAGATCGCAGATACATCAAGTGAAACTAGAAAGTTATCACATACTAGAATCCTAGAACGTTAGTGAATGGAAACCTGGCCCAACCAGCCTGTATGTTTCCACGTTCAGTACCTCTGAACACGTCATCTCGCTCGCTCTCTCTCTCTCATCATGTGGGCACCCGCAATGCATCAACGTAATTTGGATTACAGTGTGAATTTGTGTTGCTAGTATAATCAATGGTATTGATAACATGAGGCTACACAGGTGCTAGTCCGCTTGGCTTATCCCTTCCCTCCTCTTTCCCCCCCACTTCCCGCCCCCCCAAAAAAAGATTGCAAGCAAGTTAAAGCTTCAAAGGTGTTAAATTAAATGCACTTGTAAAGTGTTAACCTTTTCGGTGCAAGTTATATTGATAATTTTGATATAACGCCTTATCACGTCTTCCAGACGTCTCAAAGCTAATTTGAATGAGTGATGTGCATAACAACCCTTGGCTTATTAATGTCTAACGCATGTGTTTCTCTCTCTCTTTCCCCCTGTTGTGTGTTGTCGTCTGCAATAGGCCATTGTAAGTATACTAGCAGGCTGAAATTCATGCAAATTTACTGTTTTGCACAATATAATAATAATAAAAATACAAGCACAAATCAACAATAAAAACATATTGCAGCCTGAAATTCCAGTTAACATCATGACCATTTTCTAAGTCTTTGATTCTCTTAAATGCTTTCATTCTCAAATGATTACAAAGAGAGGGGTTTACTCCCAGAATACTTGATTTTCCTTACCTGTGTTGTATTGTTTTTAATGGTTTTCAGCTGTCGATTATCCTTTTGAAGACTGCAACGGGGTCTCCCAGCAATAATAATAATAATCCTTTCATATATTATACCTAGCGCCTTATCGCGTCTTCGAGACATCTCAAAGCACTTCACAGAATATCCTAATATCCTTGTAGTTACATATTATTATTGAAAGAGGAGAGGGAGGGATTCCGGGATGGCGTTCCGGAGAATGGGGAGAGGTAGTTAGTAATTATCAATAATTAAGACTTTCAGTGAAACATGAAGCATCTGCACTCCAGCCATCTAACCATGTCCTGGGGGCAATCATGGACCTTTGTTAATTTTCTCTCTCTCCTCTCTCTCTGTCTTTCCCCTCGCAGTCAAATCTGCTGAAACGCAAGCTGGATGAGCACTTGTAAGTAGAGCATTCCTCCCTCAGCCTTGCCTTTCAGGGCTTCAGATAAATTTAATGGCATCTCGAAGACCTGACAAGGCGCTAGATCAAAAACAACGAAGGAAGGAAGATGAACGACACTCCCTACAGCGATTTGAGCTGTTTTCAAAAAAAACAGTGAGATGTTAAATAATAATAATACTTGCATTTGATATGGCGCCCTATCACTTCGTCGAGATGTCTCAAAGCACTTCACAGGATACACTGAAGTGAATTGGCTGTGTGCTTTGTGTGAATTTTTTAAACATAATATCCTGCTTTCTGGCACTATGTTTCGCTCCCCCCGAACTGCCCGCTAACCCCAGGAATTTCCTGGTCTTTTTCATTTATTTTTTTCAAAAGATCCAAAATGTATTACAACAGCGTAAATTCTCAATCAACCCCACTTGCCCTCTGACGTGAAAGGCTCTGTGTAAATGAAACTTGTTGTGATATCTCCCGTGTCTCTGCAGAGAGAAGCTACACGAGGCCCACACAGAACTGCAGAAGAAGCGAGAGTACATCGATGACCTGGAACCCACAGTCGACAGTGTCAGTGAGTAGCCAAACTGAAGCCGGACATGGTTGCTGTCTAGTGGTTGGTGGCAGTGGTTAACAACACCACCAATACATGACATTTATCCAGCGCCTTTCACATCGGGAGGACGTCCCAAGGAGCTGGGCTGGACAGTCAGGGATTTGGACCCGAGCGTTGGGTTGGGATCAGGAGGGTTGGAGCTCAGGGAGGGTCGGGGTAGGAGAGTGTCGGTCAAGAGGAGGGTCTTGAGACGTGCCTTGAAGGAGGGAGCCAGGCGAAGGGACTGTGGGATGGAGTTCCAGAGGGTGGGGGCAGAGGCCTGATCGACGATGGTGGGGTGGGCCATGGCGGGGAGGGGGTGTGAGGCCGTTAATGCCTGATTCTGGTCTCTACAGCCGCTCGCAAGATCGATGAGCTAGAAGAAGTTCTGAAGAAGAAAGATGAAGACATGAAGGCCATGGAGGACAGATACAAGAAATACTTGGAGAAGGCACGGACAGTAAGTCCCGTGTAAAACCCCGACTATCCAGCGCCTTGGGACATCCTCCTGCCGTGAAAGGCGCTGTGTAAATGTCATTTTGTATTGTATGGAAGGAATCATGGACATTTACAGTGCAGAAGGAGCGCTTTCGGCCCATTAACTCGTTAATAATAATCATAATAATCTTTGCATTTGATATCACATCTTATCCAGTCTTTGAGACATCTCAAAGCGCTTCACAGAATGTACTATAAAGTGGAATGACTGTATTTTGTGAGCGAAACGCGACAGCCAGTTGTGCACAGCAGCGTCCCCACAAACTGTCGTGGATTGAGTGACATTATTATTATATTTATTTTTTTGGAAGGATTGTTACCCCCGGAGAGCAATCCGCTAGCAAGTGGCTCCTATTTACTGCGAGGAGTGAGTGGGTGGGTGTGTGTGTGTGTGTGTGTAGTAAGGAAACTCTCCTAATTTGAGTAATTTTTTACCGTGGAGTCATTTTTTTCCCCCTCAGGTGATTCAAACTCTTGACCCAAAGCAAGCGACAAGAACTCCACCGGAAGTTCAAGCCTTGAAAAACCAACTGCAGGAGAAGGAGGTTAAGATTCAGCTCTTAGAGGTAATGGGGAACCCTTGTCTTCCCCCCCACCCCACGCCCCCCCTTCTCCCCCACTCCACTACCTGCCACCTCCACTCGCCCGGCTCCAGCCTCCTCCACGTCCCTCGTCCCCTCCGCTCCACCATCAGCAGCCGCGCTTTCAGCCACTGCACCCCCGAAGCTTTGGAACTCTATCCCTCAATCCCTCCGCCTCACCCCATCCTTCCCCTCTTTTGGATCACAACTGAAGACCTTCCTCTTCGATCGTGCTTACGGTCACCTCCTCCCTCCCTCCCCCCCCACCTGCTGGGCATCAGACTCCACCACTGATGAGGGCTCCGAGACCCTGCCCTGCTTGAAGGCCACTGTGTTGTTTAAGTGCAAATGTGTGCGTTGACTTTGCCTCTTTTTTTTCTCTCCCTCTTGTCAGCACGACTTCGAAAAAAACAAGTCGCAAAGAGATCAAGAAGAGAAACTGATCATCAGCGCTTGGTATAACATGGTGAGGCAGCACACAACTGTAAAGCCGTAGCTTTTCATTGCGGAATAGCACCATGACACCTTATGCTGGATAAGTCGTCTGTCCATCAGACAAGACGTCAAGCTGAGCTCCCCGTCTGCCTGTTCAGGTGGACGTTAAAGATGTTAGAGACGTCTCGAAGACGTGATAAGATGCTATAGGAGTCCTGTAGTTAGAGCACTTGCCTTGCAAGCGAGAGGGCCTGGGTTCAATTCCCAGCGGGCCGAAATGTTGGGCAAGTTTCCTTACTCAAAACGCACGCCTGTTTACCCAGCAGTAAGTAGGAACTCGGTTGTTAGTCGATTGGCAGATCGCTTTTCCGGGGGGTAATAATTCCTTTTAAAAAAAACCAATAATAATTTGGCTTACAAATATACAGACAATTCACTTTACAGTCTATTCTGTGAAGCGCTTTCAGACAACTAGAAGGTGCAAGGAGTATTATTATTATCCCGCGGGGCTATTCAAAACGAGAAGGGAGTATATGTCTCTCACCGTGTCCTGGCCGACAATCCCCCAGATAATTAGATACGTCATTAAAAAGGACAAAAGTGCAGGGCTATGGAGGTAAGAGTGGGGGGAAGTGACTGTATTTTGTGGGCGAAACGCGGCAGCCAATTGCGCACAGCAGCGTCCCACAAACAGTCGTGGGTTGTGTGACCCAATTATTTTTTGAAGGGTTTATTACCCCGGAAAAGGTCGACTTAACGGGTTACTACTTACTGTTGGGTAAACTGCTATATCAAATGCAAGGATTATTATTATTATTATATTTCCTGTTGTCCACAGGGGATGGCTCTGCACCAGAAGGTAACTGAAGACCGGTCACGGGGAGCCGGCCAGGCACAGTCCTTCCTGGCCCAACAGAGACAAGCTACCAACGCTCGGAGAGCTCACCCCAACCGGCTTCAGCAGTCTGTAACCCGATAAGACACCTAGCGCACACACATACACACACACACACACCGCACGTGCTCTCTCTACCTTTGTCTCTTCTCTCACGCTCTCTCACGCATTCTCTCTCAGGCGTACGCACCACTCTCACTCTCTCTCTCTAACTCTTTCCAGCTCTCTCACACATACTCTCTCTGCCTCTTGACTCCCTTACACTCTCTCGCGCATATTTTCTCTCGCGCGCACGCAAACACCGCTCACACTCTCACTCACTCTCTCACTCTTTCACTCTCTTTCTCTCACTCACACACACTCTCTCACACACAAGGACACACTAGCCCAGAGACCCATTACTTTAACACAAAGGCCATAACCTTTTTCTACAAGTTTTTTATTAACGAAATGTTCAGTCTGAATTTGGGACCGGGAGGATTTGGATGTCGGGTTCTTGCCAGCAGCCTTGTGTTGTTCCGTTTATATAAAAGTCAACCCACGTAGAATTATTATTATTATTACAAACACTAATTCTGATCAGTGCGGTCAGCTGGGGAGCTGCAATTAAAATATTACAAATAACAATAATAATTGGCTAACTGAATCCCCGACTGTTTGTGGGACACTGCGGTGCACAACTGGCTGCCACGTTTCACCCCTATATAAAAAAATATATAGTCGATTCCCTTTACAGTATATTCTGTGAGGCGCTTTGAGACGTCTAGAAGATGTGCTAAGGCCCTGTATCAAATACAAGGATTATTATTATACCACAGGTGTTGCAAAATGATTGCCACGTAAACTCAATTAATTTCCCCTTCCCACCCATCCTCCACCCTTTTATTTGTTGCTTATTTTTAGTGGATTGATTCCATGTTTATGCTGCTGAGATGTAAAAACTGAATAGAACAGAGGAGTTTTTCTTTTAGTTTTGAAGAATTTGAGATTCTTTCTATTAATGATTTTGTAGAGTTTTGTGTTTAAACACCAGTCTTATCACGTCGCCAGACTTGGTACATCACACTACAGGATGTTTCTTGTGAGTTCGATTTTTATTAGTTTCTTACAATTAAAATAAAAAGGTCCTTTCTTTTTTTTTTGTCCTTCACAGTGGCATGTCGTCATAATTTGCTCCCAAGTTCACGACTGTTTGCGGGACATCGCTGTACGCGATTTCGCCCACAAAAACCTCTCGACCGCGTGAAAAGGCGCTGCGTCAGATGCAAAGATTATTGTCGTTATCTAGTGCTGACTTCTAGTTGACGTCGGGCCTTTTGAGGGCAGTCTGCCTTTTGGGGGAGGAACCTTCAGTGGGTTCCTCAGGCTGTTGGCCACACAGCTGAGCCAGATAAAGACTAGATGAACGGACCCCGCCTTATAATATCACACAGCTGCACCTGGCCCACTTAGCACAAGGGTTTGTCCGATAAATCCTGGTGATTTCACTTGACTTTTTGAGACAGAACAGGTCGTGAACCAAACCAGATTCCACATCCAATATAAGTGTAACAGACAGGAGGAGGAAAACACCTCTTATTATTCCACTTCCCAAAGCTTTCGACTTATTTGTGCCCAGCTTGTCATTAGAGAACTTAATTGCAGCAATTGGCTGGTGGGGCCTTCAGCCTCTCAGCCCCCACCTCTGGAACGCCATCTCGCCCCCTCCCTCGCCTCCTTCAAGGCCCGTCGCGCGACCCTCCTCTTCGACCACCCTCCTACCTTCCACCCCCTCCTGATCCGAACCACCGGCTCGGGCCCCTGACTGTCCAGTCCAGCGCCTTGGGACGTCCTCCTGACGTGAAAGGCGCTGTGTGAATGTCAACCGTTGTGTTGGTAATTGGAAGAAGGCAGAATGGAAAGAAACAATGTTCCACCCGCACGCTTCTCCTCGGACAGCACAGCCGACCCACGTTGGCTGAAGTATAGAGCTACACTTCTCCTGTAAGTAGACAGCGATATGAATGAGCAAGCTATGTGGTTTTAGCTGGTTACCAGCAGTTACCCCAACGCACGCACACTCTGGGCTCCCCCCCTCAACCAACCAACCAACCAACCAAGCCTTGGCTCTTGCCAACCAAGCCTAATACTTCCTGGAATTAGGTAAGCCAGAGAGAGAAGCTATCTCTGGGATCTCCATGTGTAGTTGGGATACATGGAATATTCTCAGTTTGGTTTGGAGACTCTTAAGCAACGGTGATGGGTTTCCGGGTGTGTCAGACACCCGGCTGAGCCCCTAAAAAAATACCTAGTAGTTTACTGACAACCCCAACCTCCCCCACGGGCTACCTAGGGGCAAACTGAAAGGCTTTGAGAGATTTTGACACCCTCCTACCCCCTCCTGATCCAACCCCCAGCTCGTGTCCAAATCCCCGAAAGCCCTGTGTAAATGTCAATTTGCTTTGCATTATATAGTGGTGCGGTAAGGCACTATGTCAAAAAATCTCTCTTGCGACTGTGTGGAACACAGTCACTTAGATTAATGTTATATTTCATGAAATTCTGGGTTTACTTTAGTAAAATCAGACACCGAGATGGCAATCATTGAGTTTTGTAGAAAGTTTTGTATTTTTACTTCAGTAGAATTCACAAAAGACAATACAGAGCAGTGTATATATATAATATATCTATGTGTGTGTGTATTATATATATATATATAGTTACATTTAGATCGTATAGAACGATCCCAGTTGTTAGTCGATTGGTGGATCGCTTTCCGCGGGTAATAACCCCTCAAAAAAAAATGGGAGTCACTGTTTGTGGGAGGCTGAAGGCCTTTCGAGAATTATTATTATTATTATTATTAAACTGTACCCAATTAAGTTGGTTGCCCCAATGCGCAGTCTCCAGTTGTGAATGGCGCTACGCCAGACACAAGGATTAGTAGCGTTGGTTTAAATAGGAACACAGAAAAAAATTGTCTGCGTGACTGGTCATTCGACCCGCGTTTTTTTTAAAAAAAATAGTGATAAAATGCAGTCGCTCAATCCGCGACTGCGGGGACGCTGCTGTGCGAGTTCCGCCCACAAAACGCACAGTCACTCCACTCCGCAGCGTATCCCGCGAAGCGCTTTGAGACGCCTCGAAGACGTGTCAAATGCGAGTTATTATTATAATAACAATAAATGCCACTTAACCCCCACTCCCCTCCACCCCACCCGTTATTAAAATAAGGATAGGAGACTATGGAGATGATGGAACAAGATGTCAGAGACACATTTCACCTCCTCACTCACACACACACACTCACTCACACGCTCGTTCGCTCACACACTCGCTCACACGCGCTCACTCACACACAACGCTCACACACACACACAGATCCCCTGGACGTCTAAATACAGCGAAACGCTTGCGCAGGAACACAAGCGAGGGACGCGCGAGCCGCGTTTCGCCCGCAAGACGCACAGTCACTCCACGTGACGGCCTATTCCTGGTGAAGCGCTTTTGAGGCGTCTCGGCGACGGGACAAGGCGCACAGCTGTGTCAAAGGCCAGCATTAACACGATTATTATTATTATTACTGAACACAACCAAGTGCTTCCAGATACAATGATCAGCATTCGTCCAAAGGAGTAACGTGGTGGGGGGGGGGGGGGTTGTCAGGGAGTAGGGGAGGGGGTAACGGGGCTTTTCGGACCCCCTGTAGATTGACTGTAGAGTATTTTACTCTTTAAGGGGGCAGAGGCCGGGATTGTCAGGAGCTCGGGCTTCCAGAAAGCCGCTCGGTAAACCTCGGCAAAAAGTGTTTCGCTCGCCTCCCAGCGTCCTCAGATCTCGCAGGGGGTCTCGCCGGAGACCCTGGGGGTCCCGTTGGCGTGGAGCGGCTCCGAGATGTGCAAGGTGACCAGATCTGCCCCCAGCAAGTCTTCGCCCGGGCGTAGCGACCCCTTGCCAGTCGGGAACCACTCGGGAGCGGGTCCTCCTTCACCCCGGGGGGCGAGCAGGGGCCTGGCAAGCTCCCCCCCCTCCTCCTCATCCTCGTGCGACGGGCCCATGCCCGGCGCTCGCCGGGGGTCGCAGTCAGAAACTGTGGGGCCGGCCGGAGCGGAAGGGACCCCCGGGCTGGGGGGCGAGCCCCCCCTCCCCTCCCCCGCTCCGACCCCCGGGGGCCCTTTCTCCGAGCCGGCCGGTGATCCCGGGTCCTCGAGTCCCCGGCCCCCGGCTCCCTCCCCCCCACCTCCTCCTCCCGGCCTGAGCTCAGAGAGGAACCGGACCTCGCCGAGCGGCTGGTGACGGTCGCCCCAGGTCCCGCAGGAGCAGGCGGTGGACCGGGTGTCCTGGCACAGGCAGCTGTACATGGAGGCGTCCGACGAGCCGCTGCCCCGTCGCTTCAGGAGGGGCCGGAGCCGGCCGGAGCGAGCCGCCCCCGGCCCCCCGAAGCTGACCGGCGAGGCCGCCGAGGTCAGCAGCCGGTTGAACAGCGGCAGGTGAGGATGAGGAAGGTGCGGGTGCTGGTGGTGATGGTGACGGAGGCCCCTCCGCCCCTCCTCGCCGTTCTCCTCGATGTCCTCCATGGGCTGGAAGTGCATGTCTTCCTTAGACATCCTGCGAGAGAGAGAGAGAGATGGATGGAGACAGAGTTGGAGATAGAGATATAGTGGACAGAGAGGGAGAGAATGGGTATTAAAGGGACAGTGGAGTGGGTAATAATCCCTCCCGAATAAATAAATCATAATTAAGAATTTGTTCAAGATCCCGCGACGCTATTCAAAACAAGAATGGACTTTCTCTCTCTCTCTCTCTCGCTCTCTCTCTCTCTGTCCAGGGTTCCTGGCCAATAAAATAAAATATCAGTCGCTCAATAATAATCCTAATAATAATAATCCTTATATGATGATAATAACAATAATAATAATAAACAATCCACGACTGTGTGTGGGACGCTGCTGCGCGCAATCGGCTGCCGCGTTTCGCCCACAAAATACGCGGCCGCTACACTTTACAGCGTGTTCTGCGAGGAGCTTCGAGGCGTCTCGGAGGCACTGTGTCGCATGTGAGGATTAGTATCATTATGATTATTATAATAACTCACGTCATGTCAAACGTGGAGCCCTGGAACGATGGCTTCTGCAGGACAAAGACAGTGGCCGCGGTGTAAGGCGGGCGAGGGTTGGACTCGTTCCAGTAACGATCCTTCTCCACCAGAGGCAGGTCCTGGTACATTTCGTCCACGGCCATCATGGACACCTGGGTAGGACCACCGCAAATCACATTCGGGCATCATCGGAACATCCCAAGGTCAAAGTCACCCCCCCCCTCTCCGTCGGTCCTTAAAACCTCTCGCTCCCAACTTGCCCCCCCGGAAAACGTTGACGCGCTTTTCCATTTCCCCGCAGACGCTGCCTGACCGGCCGAGGGCACTCTGCGTTCCCCGGTCCAACCGGCCAGCCGTGCGCGCGGGGGGCGACCGCTCGGGCTCAATAATCGGCTGCCGCGTTTCGGCCCACAAGACACACAGCCACTACGCTTTCCGGCGTATCCCGCCAAGCGCTTTGAGAGACGCCTCGAAGACGCGATGAGGCGCTGTGTCAAGCGCGAGGATTATTATTATTATTATTATTATAAAGCGCTCTCGTGGGGCTCGCTATGTGGTTTTAGCTGCTTAGACTCCAGCAGACACCCCAACGCACACTCTGGACCCCCCCCCCACCCCCTCCCAAGGCCTCGTCTCTCGCCCCTCTGCGCCTAACAACAACAATAATAAATAAAATAATAATTTTATTCATAACCCCCCCCCCCCAGGTGAACGCCAAAGAATGGGTTGGAGACGGGTGCAGACACGGACGCTCCCGCTACCCGACCGCAGACGCACCTGAAAGTTGCGGTCGATCAACCGGTTCGTTTCGAAATCGTCGTCGTCTTCCCCGAAAGGGTTGATCAGTTGTTCGGCCACCTGTAACACGCGAAGCACACGCGCCCGCGCGCGCCCGCGCGCACGCAGCCCCCGTCAGTCAAAGCCGCCGCCAACACCTTCCATTTCGCACACAGCGCCTTTCACGTCGGGAGGACACAAGCGGCCCCCCCCCACGAAACGCACAGTCGCTACGCTTTATCCTGCGAAGCGCTTGGACGCCGCGTCTGGAAGACGTGACAAGGGGGATTACTATCGCTATTGTTAATGTATCTCGTGTTTTCGCCCGTCGCTGGGTTTACGGGCGTCGGGTTTCGGGGTGGGGATGGGGCCGGGCTTTACCTTGAGCCAACCGGCGTAGAAGAAAAACTGGAGCAGCGTAAACACGGGCACGTACAGGTCCAGGTCGTGACCGGCGTAGCCTTGCTCGGGGTCCAGAAACTGGCGCCCGATCAGACACGTCAGGAAGAAACTGTAGACTGCGATCGTCACCACCTGACGAGAGAGAGAGAGGGAGAGAGAGGACATTAATGACGGACGACGTTCAGGAATAAGAAATGACGAAATAGATAACGCGCGCCTTTCGAGACGTCTCAGAGCGCTTCACGGTGGGGGTGGGGGGGGGGTGCGCACGCCGCGAAGCGCGGTGGCTGTGCAGCTTGTGGGCGAAACGCGGCACAGCCCGTTGCGCCCGGCGACGTCAGCTCGAATCTCTACCCCCTCCTCACTCCCTCCCCTCACCCTGACCATTCCCCCCCCCCCCCACCACCACCACCCCACTGCTCGGGTCCCGACCCAACTGTCCAGCGCCTCGGGACGTCCTCCCGACGGGAAAGGCGCTCTATAAACGCAATCTTGTTGTTGTTGTTGTTGATTTTTTTGACCGCATTAGAGACAAGGCTATCAAACAAACCCCGACGGCTAAAAATTGGGCGCTTCCCATGGACGCGTTTCGTCCCACAAAAACACACAGTCACTACACTTTACAACGGGCACCGCCTGGGAAGCGCTCCGAGATGTCCCGAGGGCGCGACGGGGCGCTGCGTCAAACGCGAGGATTAGTATTATTCTTATATTACTGTTATATTATAATTATATTATTAGATGATTTACTATATTATTTTGTTTTAGTATAAGATAATTATCTTACACAGTTGTTATATTTTTATATAATTATTATATTTTATATGATATAATTATATTATTATAATTATTATTATTATTATGACGGTTTCCCCTGGTAGCTGAGACTCTGACCCGCACCCTCTGCTCCGTGGCTCTCTCTTACCTGCGTGTAAACGAGGGGAATGCTGATCCAGTCGTAGTGAAACAACATACTGCACTTCCCACGGAACACATTCAGCTCCTGTAAGCAAACAAACAATAATGTCTTATTAATAATTATTACCGCACTTCCCGCCCCATCGTTCAAGTGAGAGACCTGAGTTCAATTCCAGGCAGAGGGCGAAACCTTGGGCAAGTTTCCTTACTCCACACAGAGCCTAATAATAATCCCTCCAAAACTAAAAACAATAATAAATTGGTCATTTTCAATCCACGACTGTTTGTGGGACATTGCTGTGCGCAATTGGCTGCCGCGTTCGCCCACAAATATACAGTCGATTCACTTTACAGTGTGTTCTGTGAAGCGCTTTGGGATGTCCTCCCGACGTGAAAAGCGCGATATCAAATGCAAGGATTATTATTATTATTATTAAGGCCGGCTGCCGCGTTTCGCCCACAAAATACACAGTCGCTACGCTTTACAGTGTATCCCGCGAAGCGCTTCGAGACGTCTCGAAGGCACGATTGTATGCAAACAGGAGGAGGCCATTCAGCCCCTCGAGCCTGTTCCGCTGTTTTATTAGATCATGGCTGATCTGTACTCCAGGTCCAGGTTCCTGCCCTTCCCCCATATCCCTTAATACCCCCGACCGCACAAATATGAAGTCGCTATATCAAATGCAAAGATTATCGTTATATTATTGTTGTTATGAAAGGGCCAGTCCGCCCTTCGTGTGTGTTACACACCCTTGCCCACACGCGCACACACACACGCCAAAACACCCCCTTGCCCACACGCGCACACACACAGACAGAGAGACACACACAGAGAAATACAGTAACACACACACACACAGACAGAGAGACACACACAGAAACACACAGACACAGAAACACAGACACACACCCACAGACACACACGCACAGAAACACACCGACACACGCGCACGCACACACACGCACACACATACCGACAGACAAGCGTTGCTGTTGTTACCTCCATTAAGAGCTTGAGAGCGCAGTCGTCCTTAACGCGCCCCTCTTTCCGCGCCTTGGCCACCAGATTAGTGAACCAGACGCATGGAATCCAGTACTTGTTGTACGTGGAGTGCAGACTCTCATATTTCTTCCTCTCACCTCTCGTCATAAATCCTGACCGGGGGGTGGGGGGGGGGGGGCGGGCGGTGGTGGGGGGGGAGGGAAAATAAATCAATTGATGGTGATTAACGAATGATCAGCCGAACAAATTAATACCAATGATACTTATGGGAAATAATATCAATAATATTAATAATAATACTACAATAATAATAATCCTCGCTTTTGAAACAAGGTCTTCGAGACGCCTCAAAGCGCTTCGCAGAATAGACTGTAAAGTGCAGTGACTGTGTGTATTCGCGGGCGTAAACGCGGCAGCCAATTGTGCCCAGCGACGTCCCCGCAAACAGTCGGGGGTCGCGTGACCAAGTAATTATTTTTTTTAAGAGGGATTATTACCCCCGCAAAAGCGATTCCCCGCCCCCCACCCCCCCCAATCGACTAACAAGTGGGTTCCCACTGACTGTCGGGTAAACAGAGGTGTGTGTGTGTGTGTGTATGTGTCTGTCTCTGTGTGCGCGTGTCTGTGTGTGTGTGTGTGTGGAGTAAGGAAACTTGCCCAACTTTTCACCTTGACCTGACCAGCCCGGGAATCGAACCCCGGGGTCTCTCTCGCTCTCTCTCTCTCTCTCTGGCTTGCGAGGCGAGGGGTCTCACCCCTGAGCTACAGACAGAGAGAGAGAGAGAGAAAGAGAGAGACTCCACTTATTACCAATTGCGTACCAGGACCGGGCAAACTCATTCACACCTATTTTCCTTCCACCAAAGAAACACGTCGAGGCGATCACCGCGGACGAGACGGCACTTCACACCTACACAGAGCCTTTCTCCTTCAGCAGCAGATCCCACCAGGTTTGACGATACTCACATACAATAGCGACGAAACTGGTGAGTATCGGTTACTATTGTCACTTAACGTCTCACCTCAATTCCCTTTCCCCCCCCCGACTCCCGTGAACTTGGTTCAAGGGTAGTCTCTCCCTTGTAGCTCAGGGGGAGTTAGACCCCTCGCCTTGCAAGCGAGAGAGAGAGAGAGACCCGGGTTCGATTCCCGGGCGGGTCGGGTCGGGGAGAACGTTGGGGAAGTTTTCTTACTCCCCACACACACCGACAGAGAGAGAGAGAGACACACACACGCACTCTGTTTATACAGCAGTCAGTAGGAACCCACTTGTTAGTCGATTGGGGGATCGCTTTCCCGGGCGTAATAATCCCATCAAAATAAATAATAATAATTTGCACCCCCCCCCCTCTCTCTCTCTCTCTCTTCTTCAATCCCTCCCTCCGCCTTGCCCCCTCCACCCCCCCCCTCTCTCCCCTCGTTCAAGTCCCGTCCGAAAACCTTCCTCTTTGACCGAGCCTTCGGCTCCCCTCTTGACTCTCTACCCCCTCCTCGCTCCCTCCCTTCCCTCCCCTCACCCTGACCATCTCCCCCCAATGCTCGGGTCCTGACCCAACTGTCCAGCGCCTCGGGACGTCCTCCTGACGTGAAAGGCGCTCTATAAATGGAATCTTGTTGCTGTTGTTGTTGTGTTTACAGTACCCTACCATCCCCCCCCCTCCCGTTACCCTCACCCCCACCCCCACCCGCCCAGCCAGGCTCGGAGTCGCCCTGGGTGGGTGGGGGTGGGTGTGGGGGGAGAGGGGAGAGAGCTGTTTTATAAGTGCAAGTTGTCGCTGCTGCTGCTGCTGTAGTAGTTGTTGTCGTCGTTGCTCACCTGCCTCCACCACGTGGTCCATGGTCGGGAAGCGCTTGTAGACGGCGGTGCTGACGGAGCGGAGGATGAGGAGGGCCGAGAGGCTGGCGTAGCGCATCAAGGTGCGTCTGAGCAGGCGTCCTGGCTCGTCCACGCCGTGAACGTTGCCGGAGATCACGCACATCAGCCGGTCGGGCAGCGGGATACTGGTGTACTGATTCCACCAGCGATTCACCACCATGGTGACATAAAACCCTGGGCACGGAGAGAGAGAGAGCGAGTGAGAGGGAGAGGGTGAGAGAGGGAGACAGAGAGTGTGAGGGAGAGAGTGAGACGGAGAGTGTGAGGGAGAGAGGGACAGAGAGTGTGAGGGAGAGAGGGACAGAGAGTGTGAGGGAGAGAGGGACAGAGAGTGTGAGGGAGAGAGTGTGAGGGAGAGAGGCACAGAGTGTGAGGGAGAGAGTGACAGAGAGTGTGAGGGAGAGAGAGTGACAAACAGAGTGAGAGAGAATGAGATAGAGAGTGATACAGAGAGCGAGTGAGAGTGACAAAGAGAGCGAGAGAGAGGGACAGAGAGCGAGAGACAGCGTGAGATAGAGAGTGATACAGAGAGTGAATGAGAGACAGAGAGGAAGACATGAAAAGGGAGTGAGCGAGTGAGTGAGTGAGTGAGAGACAGCGAGAGAGACAGAGAAGTGTGTGAGAGACGGAGAGAGAGAGAAAGTGCGAGAAAGGAACAATGGAACAAGATAAGAAGACCCACCAAGTACAAAGGTGATGGGGATGAGGTTTGCGTAATGATTGCAATACAACGTCAGCTTCTCAAAGTATCGCTTCTGTTTGTCGGTGAACACAAACCTTTTGTTTGAAGTATAAAAAGAACACAAAAGCGTCAAGATAAAGATACAGCGAACCACTGGCATTTACGCAGCAACCCCCCCCCCCCCCCCCACACACACACACACACACAGGGTAGCATTGGGAGGGAGGTGGGGGGAGAGATAATAATAATAATAATAATAATAATCCTTGCATTTGATATAGCGCTTTTCACGTCGGGAGGACGTCCCAAAGCGCTTCACAGAACACACTGTAAAGTGAAGTGATTGAGGGAGGGAGGGCTGGGGTGATGGGGGGAACGGGGTTGAGTGGGGGTGATAGGGAGCCAGTGGAGCCTGGCGAGCGCTGGGTTGATTGGGGGGGAACGGGGTTTAGTGTGTGTGGGGCCGGGGGGGGGGGGGGAGAGAGGAAGTGGGGGGAGAGGGGAGAGAGAGCTGTACTAACCTGTAGGTGACACTCAGCACACCGTACATCAAGGAAAACACCAGGAACTCCTTATAGAGAAGCTTGTAAATGCTTCCCTTCCATAGCATCAGGAGCTTCGAGAAGGTAGAGAAGCGCACATTGGCGACACTGGCCGTGTAGGTGACTGTCATGCCTCCAAGACTGGGAGAGGTGCGGGAAGAGGGGGGGAAAAAACGAGTGTGGGTGGGTGGGGGAGGGTGGTGGTTGGTTTAGATAGGAGGAGAGAAGGCGGTGGGGGTGGTGGGGTCCCCAAAACCTCAACGAAGAGGGGTGGAGGGGGGTCCAGAAAGAAGAAAGGACTTCTTGGTTTTAAGGATAAAGCACTGAGGGTGAAAACTTCATCGGCTTTGGGGAGAGATCGAGTTTGGGGGGGTAAAGTGGGGGCGGGGGCGATGATGGATTTGGGAGGAAGGGTGGGGGGGGGGGCGATGGATTTGGGCTGGGGCTTCTTTAAGAAGGCGGGGGGGCGAAGGGCAAGGGGGGAAGTGGGGTGGGAAAATAGCCTCGAGGAGGATTGGAAACCACTGCAAAACGAGAAGACTTTGGAAAGGCGTTGGGTTTGGAGGCGTTGGAGGAGGTTCCAAGGGGTTTTTGTCCCTTCGAATCGAACGAGGTGATCTGTCGCCACGTTTGTTCAGTCCCTCAATCCAGCGTTGGAAGCCTAGATGCAAAGAGGAGCCTGGTTGACAACAACAACAACAACAACAACAGCTTGCATTTACACCCAGAGCGCTTAACGACGGCGGAGCTGGTGGGAGAGAGGGAGAGGGAGGTGACTGTGGGCACTGGTCGAAGAGGAAGGGAGGGGAGAACACTGGGGGGGGTGGGGGGAGAGAGAGAGAGAGAGAGTCCCTTCTCTTTTCCAACAGAGCCAGGGGGAGATCTTTAACGTCCACCTGAACAGGGCACAGACTTTGGGGGGTGGAGTGGGGGTAGAGGGGGGGGGTGCAGGGGGAAGTTTTGCACACAGCAATGTCTCTCAAACAGCCATTGAGGTGAACGATTGATCTTATCGGGGGTGGGAGGAGGGGGCAGGGAATCTGAACCAGGACATCAAAGGGGTAAACAGAGAGAGAGAGAGAGAGAGACAGAGAGACAGAGAGAGAGAAACATCTTTCTCTTTCCGTACAGCGTAGCCGCGGGGGGGGGGGGGGGGGGGAACCTTTAACACGCGCAAGAACGACGGCAATTTATACAGCGTCCGGGAGTGCGTCCGAAGAACGCGCACAGGTTTAACACGTCGGAAAATCCAGTATTGATACCAAACCCATTCGACTTCCCCGCAGCTCAGGGGGTCAGACCCCTCGCCTCGCAAGCGAGAGAGAGAGAGGACCCGGGTGCGGTACCCGGGTGCAGGTCGGGTCGGGGCGAAACCTGAGGCCCGCACAGAGACACACAGGACACACACACACATGCAGACACACGCGCACGCGGAGACACACACCCACGCACACACGTAGGAACCCGCTTGTTGGTCGATCGACAGATCTCTTTTTCCGGGGGTAACAATCCTTTCCGAAAGAAAGAAATAATAACGATAATGCGGCCGTTCAATCCACGACTGTTTGTGGGGGACGTCGCTGGGCGCCTCGTTTCGCCCCACACAAGAGGCACAACGCCCTCACTCCACTTTACGGGACACCCCGCGAAGCGCTTTGAGACGTCTCAACGAAGCGATCAGGCGCCGTGTCAAATGCAAGGATTATTATTATTATTATTATTATTACCAGTATAATTATCAATACTAATAGCTATTGTCGTTAACCCCCCCCCACACCTTTTCCATACTCGCCAGCCTCGCTTTCCCACTGAGATCGGAACAACCGGTCACATTAGCAGCGACAGACACCTGGTTAGATGCCTCGGAGCCAAATTAGTAGATTTATACAGAGAGAGGCGAGACCGACAAGGCAACACCTACAACATACAATCCAATCAGAGCTCGGTCTCAGGCTTTTTTTTGGGGGTGGGAGGCCGGGTTTGGGGGTGTTTCCCCGTCTTTTGTTGGCTATTTCTCCCCTCCCCAAATCAGTGACACTCTCCTCACTACACACCTCTCACCTGCTTTGCACCATCTTACCTTCTTCCCCCCCCCCCGCCCGCCCCCATTCCCCCTTCAACACCACCCCCCACCTCCTCTCTTGCCCCCTCTCCTGCCTCCGACCCATAAAAGGGTCGTCGGTTCACGAGTGCCAGTGCGGAAACCCATAGCACGTTGCGGCGCAGGGGGTTTAGAGCCCTCGCCAGCGAGAGAGAGGGACCCGGGTTCGATTCCCGGGCGGGTTAGGCAGCGAGAAACCTTAGGTAAGTTTCCTTACTCCTCAGACACACACGCAGACACGCACACACACAGACACGCACACACGCACACACACACACACACGCCTCGGCTCCCCCAGCAGTCAGTAGGAACCCGCTTGTTAATGGATTGACGGGGGGTAATAATCCCTCCAACATAATAATAATTGGGGCACTCAACCCACCCACGGCTGTTTTGCGGGGACGTCGCTGGGCGCGATCGGCTGCCCGCCTTTCGCCCCACAAAACACGCCCAGTCACTACTCTTTACGGTGTATCCCGTGAAGCGCTTCGAGACGTCTCGATCAGGCGCCGGGCCGAATGCGAGGATTATTATTAATAGTACTAGTAATTATTATTATTATTATTACAATGATTCCCAAAAGCTGTTACTGTTAACCCCTTAGTGAACGGCAACAGCAGCGACTTACGTCTACACCTCGCCCCCTTCACGCAGGATAGTGTCTCGAGAGCGCTGGTCAGGCGAGAGAGAGAGAGAGAGAGAAAGAGAGAGAGTCAGAGGAGGAGAAGGGGAAGGATCCCCTTGGAGTACAGAGGACTCCAACCTTGCAACCTTGGGACGGAGGAAGAGATGGAGAGATGTGGAGGGGAAGTGTGCGGGAAAAAAAGTTAATCACAGACGGCACGGTTATTTTTAAACGCCCAGGAGTAGAAAGATGACCGTTGCCTCGTGGTAATTAATGTGGCGTCCCTGAAATGACACGTCCCACTGCGTTGCAGCTCAGGGGTTAGAGCCCTCGCCCCGCAAACCAGAGAGAGAGAGAGAGAGAGAGGACCAGGGTTCGATGCCCGGGCGGGTCAGGTCAGGGGGCGAAACCTTAGGCAAGTTTCCTCGCTCCCCACACGCGCACAGACAGACACACACACACACAGACAGACAGACAGACACAGACACACACACTCTCTCTCTCTCTTGCACAGCGCCAGACTGGGACACACGCACACAGACACACACAGGGACACAGACGCCTCTGTTTACACAGCAGTAAGTTACCCAGTCGTCGGTCGATTGGCGGACATCGCTTTTCCGGGGGTTAAAAACCCTTCCAAAAAATAAAGGAGAGAGAACGTGGGTAATTTTAGATTAAAGCCCTGTCTGGGACGCCTCCATCAGACAGGGGGTGGGTCCATTTCTGCATCCGTCAAGTGCTCCAAAGTCCGTTGAGGAGTTGGGACTGGGTTCGGGGTTATTTTGTACTGTGTTTGCTGTGCTGTGCTGCGCTGTCCTGTGCTCTGTCCTACGCTGTCGTGTCCTGTGCGCTGTCCTGCGCTGTCGTGTCCTGTGCGCTGTCCTGCGCTGTCCTGTGCTCTGTCCTGCGCTGTCCTGTCCTGTGCTCTGTCCTGAGCTGTCGTGTCCTGTGCGCTGTCCTGCGCTGTCCTGTGCTGTGATGTGCTCTGTCCTGCGCTGTCCTGTCCTGTGCTCTGTCCTGCGCTGTCCTGTGCTGTGATGTCCTGTGCTGCGCTGTCCTGTGCTGTGCTGTCGTGTGCTCTGTCCTGTGCTCTGTCCTGCGCTGTCCTGCGCTGTGCGTCTCATCTTATTTTGAGTTGACCAACACACTGAATCACCCGTATAATTATGATTTGCGTAACGCCGTCTGTGAGAGAGAATCTGCAGTTCGATCTTTGTGTTGAGCAATTTCCCGCCCTGTCCATCCCTCTCTGACCCCTCACCCCCACAGCCCCCTGCCCTGACTCCCTCCCTCTTTCCTCTCCAGTGTAGTGACTGTGTAGGCTGAGCGCGAGCATAAGACCCCGGGGTCAAATGCAAGGATTCATAATAACCTTGCCGCCTCATCACGTCTTCGAGACGTCTCAAAGTGCTTGGCGGGGCATAATACATTGCAAAGTGTAGTGACTGTATCTTTTACTGTATCAAAACCCTCCGCCCCTTCATTACTTTTATTTCTTTTCGAAGGGATTATTGACTCCCGGAAAAGCCATCCGCCAATCGACTAACAAGCGGGGAACAGAGGCGTGTGTGTCTGTGTGTGTGTGTGTGTGTGGGGGGGGGGGTGGGGGGGAAGAGAGAGTGGGGGGGTGGGGGGGGAGATGTGGTGGGAGCTGCTAATGGGATGGTTTCCATCTCATTGACGCCCACATCATTAGCGGATTTCATCAACCCGTTGAGTTTCTATTTCTCTTTCTTTCTCTCGGGACAATTAAAAATGAAATGTCAGCTCCCCTGGGGTTACGGGCACAGGCTCGCTCCGTCTCTCTCTCCCCCCCCCCTCTCTCTCTCTCGCTCTCTCTCTCTCTCCTCTCTCTCTCCCCCTCTCCCCTTCTCCGTCTTAAAGGGGCTGAGACGGACATGAGTTTTTGTATAAGGTACATCCTCCCGTCCGATCCCTCCGCTCAGCGGGCTCTGGCCAGCTCCACGCTTCCCCCACACCACCGCCCCGCCATCGGCGGTCAGACCTTCAACCTCTCTGCCCCCCGCCCCCCGCCCTGACCCCCCCAACCCCTCGCTCATCCCAGCTCGGGTCCAAATCGCTGACATCTTAGGCTGTGCAAATGTCATGTGTTGTCGTTGTGGTGGTGGTGGTGGTGGTTGTTGTTGTTGTATCGCTCATGTGGACCTGGGTCTTATTCCCCAGAGCAAATTCTTGTGCAGATTTCTCAAGGTTCAGCTCAGAAACCCGTCGGCTACAACAGCGTCTGAAGCCAACATTAGCCTCTGCCGTGTCACACGACATTTGTGTCACTTATCTCAGCGGGACCCAGACAGACTCTCGCCTCACTCAAAGCTCTGACTCACTGGTGAGGATGTGTGGCTTCCCAAACGTATAATTCTCGGCCGGGTAATTGCTGTTGTCGACCGAGACTCTATCTCTGCCCCCGTTTCGCCCTCAAAGCACACAGTCGCTCACCCGACACGTCCACGGTATGTTCCGCGAAGCGCTCCGAGGCGTGACGAGGCGCTATTTCGCCCGCAGAACACGCAGTCACTACACTTCGCGGCGTATCCTGTGGAGCGCTTCGAGACGTCTCGAAGACGCGACGAGGCGCCGGGTCAAATGCCAGGATTATTATCATTATTGCATATTATCACATGAGTAGCGGAGGGTATGTAAATGTATATATGGATATGAAATACGGAGCGTTAATAATAATAATAATAATAATAATCCTTGCGTTTGAGGAGGGTGAGGGGGTGGGGGGGGAAGGAGGGGATGGAAGGCAGAGATAGGGGAGAGAAAGGCCATGGAGGGCTTTGAAGGTGAGGACCAGAAGGTTGAACTGTAGCCTCTGTGTGATGGGAAGTGAGTGGAAACTTACTCAATGGGACTTAACACACTCAGTCGGTCAACCAGAGGTTATGTAACTCACCTTCACCTGTGCCAACCTCACACCACAGTCACTCACTCTCTATAGCACTACGGCTCATTGCACTCGCCAGGGCTCTGAGCTGAGCGAGAGAGGGGGAGAGAGAATGCGGGGGAGGAAAAGGGAGGGAGGGAGCCTTTTAATGAAGGGTACTGTTCTCTCTCCGTCGACCATCAAAGAAAAATCCCACCTCCTTCTCTCTCTCTCTCTCTTCCCCCCCCCCCCCCCCCCCACCGCTCGCCCCATTCAGTCCTGACTGAATTGCTTTGATGAGCTGCTATTAGCAACTGCTTGGAGTCCTGTAGCTCAGTAGTTAGTAGCAGTGAAAGCACTCGCTTTGCTAGCGGGAGAGTGACCCGGGTTCGATTCCCTGGCGGGTCAGTCAGGGTGAAATGTTGGGCAAGTTTCTTTACTCCACACACACACATAGACGCACACACACAGACACACACACACACACACAGACGCACACACACAGACACACACGCAGACGCCTCTGTTTAACCAGCGGTCAGTAGGAAACCCGGTGGTTAGTCGATTGGCGGATTGCTTTGCCTGGGGCCAATAATCGCTCCAATAAATAAAACAATATAAATAATAATAATTCGGGTCACTCGCCCTACGGCTGTTTGTGGGGACGCTGCTGTGGGCGAATGGCTGCCGCGTTTCGCCCGCCCCCCCCCAAAAAAAACACACAGCGCATCCCGTGAAGCGCTTTTGAGACGTCTCGACGACGTGATAAGGCGCCGCACCGAATGCAGGGAAACTCGGAATAATAATATTACTATCAGGAAAGGAAAGTTCAGGAAACGAGAGGTTGCTGGGAACGGAAAATCAGTGATGTGCTTACAAAATCCTCTCCGCTGTTTGTCATTAAACATTACCCGAAGGATGTTACCATCCAAAGGAATTAATAATAAGTCCCAATCGCGCTGATGATTACAGGAGCTGTGTTTGTTTTACTTTGCCACGCACTCTCGCATTCAATCTGTGGATTGATTTATTACCCCGTCGTTATTCCTGCGAATATTTTAATAACCCTGGCATTTGACATCTCATCTCATCATCGTTCGAGACGTCTCGAAGACGCGCCGGGTCTAACGCGAGGATGTATTATTTATTTTATCTGATAGTTTGTGGGCGAACCGCAGCGGCCAATTGCACACAGCAGCGTCCCGCAAACGGCCGTGGATTGAGCGACCGCCTTTTTTTTTTCTTTCTCTCTCTCCGGAGGGATTATTACCCCCGGAAAAGCGATCCGCCAATCGACTAACAGCCGGGTGCCCGCTCACCGCGTTCTTAAAGGGTTTGGTGTTCGGAGGAAGCAACAGGGCTTTCAAGGTTCTTTAGCCGTTTAATAGGGCAATTAATGTTTGTGTTTCTACACAATACAATGTAGTGGGATATACACATCCCTGTTTGGGTTCCGGCTTTGCTCAACTGAAGGTCAAAGCTTTGCCGAGTGACCGACTGGCCAACCTCCACACTCTTCCCTCCCCAACCGTCCATCCAAGTCTCCCAGTCTGGCTCAGTCGCTGTGTGTGTGTGTGTGTGTCAGCCTCGGCTCAGTCGCTCTGTGTGTGTGTGTGAGCCTCGGCTCAGTCGCTCTGTGTGTGTGTGTGTGTGTCAGCCCGGCTCAGTCGCTGTGTGTGTGTGTGTGTGTGTGTGTCAGCTCAATACTTCACACTCACTCTTCAATATCATTGTGGGGGCGAAACTTCCAATAGTTTCACCCACAGAACAGTCACTACAGTCCTGTAGCTCAGTGGTTAGAGCACTCACTTTCCAAGAGAGAGATCTGAGTTCAATCCCCGGCAGGTCAGGGCGAGACCTTGGGCAAGTTTCCTTACTCCACACAGAGCCTAATAATAATCCCTCCAAAACCCAAAACAATAATAAATTGGACATTTTCAATCCACGACTGTTTGTGGGACATTGCTGTGCGCAATTGGCTGCCGCGTTCGCCCACAAATATAGTCACTTCACTTTACAGTGTGTTCTGTGAAGCGCTTTGGGACGTCCTCCCGACGTGAAAAGCGCTATATCAAATGCGAGGATTATTATTATTATTATTATTACGGTGTATCCTGCGAAGCGCTTTGAGACATCTCGAAGACGCTGCGACATCTCAAACGGGAGGATTATTATAATTATTGTTATTAATTAATTCTTCACGCTCACTCTCAGTCTCGCTCTCCACTCTTGCCTAAGGTTCCGCCCTGACCTGACGCTCCAGGGAATCGAACCCGGGTCCTCGCGCTCGCGAGGCCTCTTAACCACTTCCGTACAGAACTAACGAAATTATTGATTCCACTTTCCTCTGCTTTCTTTCTCTCTCTCTATCTGTCCGTCTCTCGTCACATCTCTCCATCGTGCCCTTGTCCTGTGATAACACAGCCCGACCCTCAAGTGTTCCTCGGTGACAAGAATAATATTGGATGTACTCAAAAGTTTCTAAGCGCGAGGAGGGGCGCGAGAGAGCGAGCGAGCGAGGGAGGGAGGGAGAAACAAGTGGCGATAAACACAGAGTATGTGTACGGACAATCAAATGACGCTTGGGGTGAGGCAGGGGACTGCGAATTGTGGAAACAAACGGAATATTTAGTCAAAATAATTGCTTACAAGTCAAGTCAGTGTGTGCGTGTGCGTGTGAGCTTTTTTTTAACCTTGTCCTCAAATCACTCTTCGAAAGGAATACGGCACAAGAGCTCGGGTACACGTCAACTTTGTCAAGACACTTTATTCAGACCAGGGTACGAGTCAAACACAATTGGAAAAAAAAAAGAAGGGGCTATCTTACAATTCGCTGGGGGTAAGAGGAGGGGGTTGTGTTCAGAGGCGAGGGGGATGGGGGAAGGGGAGGAAGGGAACGAGGGGTGGGGGGGGGATAAAGGGGTCATAATAATATTAAAATAACGAACGCCACAATTAAGTCATTACCACTTTAATTCACTCTCTCCCTCCCCCCCCCACCCTCATTATTTGCAATTCACAGGTCAGGTCGGGGCGAAGCCTTAGGCAAGTTTTCTTACGCCTCACACGCGTGCGCGCGCACACACACACACGAGTTTCTGTTTACACACACGCGCACCCGTGTCGCTGTTTACGCACACACCCACCCACACACACACACACACACACACTCTCCCCAAAGGAAGAAATGCGCTTGTATGTCTCGGTTTTGTTTTCTTTGATCAGCCAGGTGTCCGACACACGTGGAAACCCATCGCTTTTCTCTTTAAAGTGTAGTGACTGTGTGTTGTGTTTCTGCTAATAGGAAAAATCTGTTTTCAAGTGTAGTGATCAGCCGGGTGTCTGACGTGTGCAGTACGAAAGCTTGCCTAAAGTTTCGCCCTGACCTGACCCGCCCGGGAAGGCGAGGGGTCTGATCACTGAGCTATGGGACCCCATTGGGGGGGGGGGAGGGGGTGGGTGGGGAGAAGGGGACGAGCGATGGGTGGGGGGGGAAAATAAAACCAAGATAACAAGGCAAAGAGTGGATTTGCCCACCTCTCTATACACACAGACCACGCACACCTTGCATTTATATAGCGCCCTACACGCCGGACGGCGTCTTAGAAGCGCTTAACATGCGCGCGCGCACACACACGCGCACCCACACACCCCCACCCAAAAAAAAATACCCAACCATAGAATAAACAGCATCTCCCCCTCTCCCCCCTTCTCCCCTTGCGTCAAACAGTGTTAATAAATTAGAAAAGTGGCTTCTCCGTAGTGTCGGCCTCAGGGACTGGGGGAAGAGAGTTCGTCATTTGCTGGGCGGTTTGTAAGGTTCCAGCAGCAGTTTGGAGAAGGTGTTGACTTTGTCCGTACCTCGGACTTCGTGAGCCAAGAGCGGGAGCTTCACAATGTGGAAATCTTCGTACAGGTCCTCCATCTGACAGCAAACACAAGGGCGAAGGGTTACAGGCTTGGCAACCCCCGTCCCACAGTCCCTCCGCCAATCGACTAACAAGCGGGTTCCTACTTACTGCCAGGTAAAGAGGTGTGTGTGTGTGTGTGACTGTATCTGTCTGTGTGTGTGTCTGGGGAGTAAGGAAACTTGCCTAAGGTTTCGCCCTGACCTGACCCGCCTTGCCAGGCAAAGGATTCTGACCACTGAGCTACGGGGACTCCCAGAGTAGAAAAGAGTCTCAGAGAGAGAGAGAGAGAGAGAGAAAAAAAAAACCTTTACCTGGTCCAGGTATTTGGACTGGATCTTGTGGCGAGCCTCGCACATCCTACAGGGTCTGTCGCCAGGGTCAGGGAACACCAGCTGGTTGACGATGATGTTGTGGGTGTCGATCTTGCACTTGGCCAGTTCCTGAATCAGTCGTTCGGTCTCGTACAAGGAGAGGAACTCGGCGATGCACACGCAGATGAACGTGGTCTGCTCCTGTGGGGAAAGAGTGGCAGTTGCTGGAAGCAGAGCCAGGAGAGAGGGAGGGAGGGAGGGAGGGAGGGAGGGAAGCGTGTGCGGAGGAAGGAAACTTGCCTAAGGTTTGGCCTTGACCTGACCCGCCCGGGAATCGAACCCAGATCGCCACTTACCGGGTCTTTGAACTGCTCGCTGACAGATCGGATGATGGGTAAGGTCTCCTCCAGCTTTGAAGCCAATTGATCTGCGTTCATATCGCCCAGTCCCAACATGCTGCACATCTGGAAGCAGAGCAATCTCACCGCTAACAACAACAACAACAACAACAATAATCCTTGCATCTGAATCAGCGCTTCATCACGTTGTGGAGGCGTCTCAAAGCGCTTCACTGTCAAGTGCAGTGACTGCGCGTTTTGTGGGCGAAACGCGGCAGCCGACTGCGCCCGGCGACGTCCCCACAAACAGCCGTGGATTAAGCGACCAAATTACTAGTATTTTTTATATTTGCTGGGTACACGGAGGCGGGCGGGTGTGCGGAGAAAGGAAGCTGGCCTACGGGTTCGCCGGGAATCGAACCCAGGTCGTCTCCTCCCACCCCTTTGGAACTCCATCCCGAAGTCCCTCGCCTTGCTCTCTTCCCCGTCTCCTTCAAGACCCTCCTCTTCATCCCTCCTGGGTCACCCTCCTATCCTAACCCCCCGCCCTCGCTGCCAACAATCCCCCCACCCTCCCACCCAGCCCCCCAGATAAAATGGGCCGGCCTTACCTGAGAGATGAACGGGCTGATCTGGTTCTTAATCTGCATCAGCCTCCCGAGTCCTCGCTCCACAATCGTGGGGAAGTTTAAGAGGCGCAGTGTGTGTCCGGTTGGAGCCGTGTCGAACACGACCACCGAGAAATTCATGCCTTTCACCAACCTGCAAAAAAAAAAAAAAAAATTAATAATAACAATCCTTGCATTCGACACAGCGCCTTATCACATCGTCCAGACGTCTACAGCGCCTCCAGACGCGAAAGGCGCTACACCAAGTAAAAGCGCTTCACAGAATATATTCCGCCCAGTGAATTGACTGTACATTTTGTAGGCGAAACGCGGCAGCCAATTGCGCCCAGCGACGTCCCCACAAACACAGCGCCCTTCACGTGGGATAGAGTCAATGCACAGTCGTTGTTGCGCGACTCTCCCCCCCCACCCCCACCACCACCAATTTACCTCATGACCTCCGCGTAGCTCATAGCTTCATCAATGCCCGGGAAAGCACTCATCGCCTCCTGCATCATCTTCTTGCCCATGCTCAGCATGTTATCCTCCTCGAAGAATTCATCCGGCAACTCCGCCACTCCCAGGCTCGGATCAATCTCCTAAATCAAAAGCAATTCCCAAAGTGAATGTGGAATCCGTGTAGCGTACGTCGCGGTTAGAGCCCTCGGCTCGCAAGCGAGAGGACCCGGGTTCCATTCCCCGGGCGAAACCTTAGGCAAGTTTCCTTTACTACACACACACACACACACACGTATATAGGTGCCTCTGTTTACCCCACAGTGAGTAGAAACCCGCTTGTCAGTGGATTAGCGGATCACTTTTCCGGGGGTAATAATCCAACCCCCTAAAAAAAAATCTTAATAATAATTTGGTCACTCAATTCATGACCGTTTGTGGGGATGTCGCGGAGCGCAATTGGCTGCTGCAATTTGCCCCCCCGAAAATACACAAGTCACTACACTTTACCGTGTATCCTGTAAAGCGCTTTTAATTTTAACGTAAAATGTTTTGAGACGTCTCGACGACGTGAAAAGTCTCTATAATTAAATGCAAGGATTGTCATTATTATAATAAGTCTTTGAAGACTGAGTTTATTATCCCTGGAAAAGCGATCCGAGGTGTGTGTGTGTGTGCTGGAGTAAGGAAAGTTGCCCAAGGATTCACCCTGACCTGACCCGACTGGGAATTGAACCCGGGTTCTCTCTCTCTCTCTCTCGCTTGAGAGGCGAAGGCTTGAACCACTGAGCTGCAGGGACTCCAAACACCTGTTCAGAGCTCAGGCCCCACGTACCATGGCAAACAGGTTGTCATAGCCTTTTACTTTGGTCGGCACTTTGGAGAATTTTTGATCGAAGGCGTCAGAGATGTTGTGGGCCGGGTCGGTGGAAATGATGAGGACGCTCTCTCGAACTTCTGCCAACTGCACAGCCAGACTGCAACTGTTTCCAGGGAACACACATAGCAGTTAGAAACAAGCTCGAGGGACAAAGAGGACACAGGAGAACGAAGACAACAACAGATGGCATTCCCACAGCGCCTTTTACGTTGGGAGGACGCTTATTGAGGCAGGCAATGACAAGAGGTTGGATGGAGTTGGGAGTTGGGATTGGGGAAATGAGATGTAGTAACAATAATCCTTGCATTTGCTGCAGTGCCTTGTCACGTCGTTGAGACGTCTCACAAGCGCTTCACACGATACCCTGCACCATAGCGTTATACAGCACAGAAGGAGGCCATTCGGCCCATCGCGTCTGTGCCGGCTACTGACCGCAGTGTCAGTTGGTGGTATATTTTGTGGGCGAAACTCAGCAGCCAACTGCGCAAAGGCAGCGTTTCCCCCACAAACAGTCGTGGGTGGATTGTCTTTACGAGGAGCAGGAAGGAGTCGGAGGAGACGCAGATGGAGGAGATGGACAGTTGGGGCTGGAGTCGGGGGAGATCTGGATGAAGGGGTGAGGTGAGGGGGAATAGAGATGGAGAGATGGGAGCTGGAGGAGATGGGGGGGAGGGGAGGGGTGAGATGGAGAGGGGGAAAATGGGAGCTGTCCATGTGGAGATGAAGGAGATGCGGTTGGGGGGGTGCGGCGGCGGCGGTGGTGGTGGTGGGGGGAGGGCTGGAAGTGAAGTGGTCGGGGGGGGGGGAACACCTGGGATGAAAGGGGGTAAACAAACATGGCGGCTGCCACTGCCCACCCACTCTCCCCCCAACTCTTGCCGCCAACCCACTCTCTCCCCCCCACCCACCCACTCCCCCCCATACCCTCCCTCTCTCCCCCATACCCTCTCTCCCTCCCTCCCCCACCCACCCTCCCCCTCTCTCGCCCTAACCACACTGCCTCTCCCCCCCACCCTCTACCTCCCCACTCTCTCTACCCCTCCACCCACCCTTTCCCTCCCTCTCCCCCCCTACCCACACTCTCTCTCGCCCCCACCCTCTCCCCCCCACACCCTCTCCCTCTCTCCCCCACTCCCCCCACACCCCCTCCCCCACCCACTCCCTCTCCCCCCCACCCACACTCTCTCCCCCCCTCTCTCCCCCACACCCATCCCCCCCCACACCCCCCCGCACTCACACCCCCACACACACACACCCCCACTCACCCCCCACACCCCCCACACACCCCCACTTACACCCCCCCACTCACCCCCCCCCACACACCTGCAGAGCCGTCTTCCCGAACTCGTTCACCGTGTGGACGTTCACCCTCTCCTGGTCGAGCAGCCTCTTGACTTCGGTCAGATCGCCTCTGGCCGCGGCGCCCGACAGCCGCTTCCCGTCCCTGATGTCGCTCTTGACCATAGCGGCGGCGGTGGGGGGAGGGGACAGAGGGAGAGGGAGGGGGTGGGGGGACAGTGTGTGAGGGTTCGTGTCTCTGATCAGTGACGAACGCAGGAATCCCCTCTTCGATGTATCCGTTTCGAGTGGATACATTGACAGTTCCCGTCGACCAATCACGGGCCGCGCCGCCGCCTTGTTGCCATTTTTTCTCCGCCAATCAGCGCCGGGCCGGCTGCTGGGTGACGTCACCGTCACCGCCCCACCCACCCCATTGTGACGCGGCTTGATCGTCACCCGAACCGACCAATCGCAACCCTCACCCGTCGGAAGCTGATGGACTCCGCCAATCAGCGCCGGGCCGGCTGGTGGGTGACGTCACCGTCACGGCGCCCCGCCCCCTATCTCTCTGTCTGTCTGTCTGTCTGTGTCTGTCTCTCTCTGTGTGTGTGTGTCTGTGTGTGTGTGTCTCTCTGTCTGTCTCTCTCTGTCTATCTCTCTGTGTGTATCTCTCTGTCTGTCTGTCTCTCTGTGTGTGTCTCTGTGTGTGTGTGTGTGTCTCTCTGTCTGTCTGTGTCTGTCTATCTCTCTCTGTGTCTCTGTCTGTCTGTCCGTCTGTCTGTCTGTGTGTGACTCTCTGTCTGTTTCTTTCTCTGTCTGCCTCCCTGTTTGTCACTCTCTGTCTAATTGTGTGCGCGTGTCTGTCTGTCTGTCTCTCTGTCTGTCTGTCTCTCTGTCTGTCTGTCTCACTCACTCTGTCTCACTCTGTCTCTATGACTCTCTCAGTCTGTCTCGCTTTCTGTCTTCCTCTCACTCTCCCGGTCTGTCTCACTCTCTGTCTGTCTATCTGTGTGCGGGTGTGTGTGTCTCTCTCCCTCTCTCTTTGACAGCGAGCGTCTGCGTCTCCGGTTGCCGCGTGTCGCTGGCGACTCGCTCCAAAGCCCGATCGAGGGAATCTGGACCCTCGATTCACTGAAAAAAAACACTCTTATAATAATAATAATAATAATCCTTGCATTTGATATAGCGCTGTTCACGTCGGGAGGACGTCCCAAAGCGCTTCACAGAACACACTGTAAAGTGAAGTGACTGTATATTTGTGGGCGAACGCGGCAGCCGATTGCGCACAGCAATGTCCCACAAACAGTCGTGGATTGAAAATGACCAATTTATTATTGTTTGGGTTTCTCTCCCTCTCTCTCTCGGTGTCCAGAGCCAACAATCCCTCAGATGAAATCGATCACCCCCCCCCCTCCCCCCCTCCCCCCCTCCCTCCACGGCCGCCCGCGGGAACGTGCCGCGCGTAAATTGGTTCGCCGAACAAACACAGTCACTGCACTCGACAGAAACCTCGGGAAGCGCTCAGAGAAACATGGACTGTTTGCGGGACCTTCGTCCTGGACCGTGACAGTGATCACCTGCGAAGGAAGGGTCCGTGTTCTTGTCCTTCAGAACACAGTCACTACACTTTAACATTCAAATTAACAATAAAAGTTTGCTTACCCCACGCGCCGCTGTTCACCGCGCGACGAGTAGGTCGTCGGTCGATTGGCGGATCGCTTTTCCGGGGTCAATTAATCTCCCCCCACCCCCCCAAAAAAAATGTGGCCCCTCGATTCACGACCGTTTGTGGGGGCGCCGCTGGGCGCAGTCGGCTGCCGGGTTTCCGCCCACCAAAATGCACAGTCACTACGCTCTACAGTAGATCCTGCGAAGCTCTCAAGGACGCTCAGGACCTTTTAAGATCAGGTCCAAAAAATACCGTCAGCTTCGAAACCGGTCAAAGGCGACGCAGAGAGAGAGAGAGAGAGAAGCACAGAGGACACTTCAGTGGAACTTTTATCTCTTGACACTAACGGAGATGGAGATTATTATTATTATTATATTATATACTATATATTATATATTATTGTATTATAGTATTATAATATTATTATATTATATATTATTATATTATAATATTATTACACTATAGAATTATTATAATATATTATTATATTAGTATATTAGTATATATTATATTATTATACTATAGAATTATTATATTATTATACTATAGAATTATATTATTACACTATAGAATTATATATTATCATATTATAATACTATTATACTATAGAACTATTATATATTATTGTATTATAATATAATTGTGTTGTATGATTATTATATTATTATATTACAATAGTAATGCAATAATAATCACAAGATGCGGAGACATCTAGTGGTCACGCTCATACCCGCACCCAATTCCAACGAGAGAATAATAATAATAATAATAATCCTGGGGTTTCCTCCTTGTCGCGGCATCGAGACTGCAAAGCGGAGTGACTGTACATTTTGTGGACGAAAAGCCCTCTCCCCCCCACACCACCCCCCACACACGCAAACAGTCGCGGATCGAGTGACCGAAATTATTATTAGTACAGATCGGTTTGCACCGCGGAGCGCGGAATGGAGACTGACCTCTCGGGTGTCGGTTTGGCTGTTTACACCCTCTTTATCATGGGATTTCCTGACGCAGAGCTTGTGGCATTTAAAGAGCCGTTAAACATCACTCACTCCCACCCCCCACACAGCCCCAGCCCCCACCCCCCACCCACAGCACCCGCCACCCCACCCCGTCTGTGCCCTGGTTCAGGTGGACATTAAAGATCTTCCTGTTGGAAAAGAGAAGGGAATCTCTCTCTCTCTCTCTCTCTCTCTCCCCCTCTCTCCGTGCTTTTGGCCGACACTCCCCCCCCAGTTAGTTGTTTGCCCGCTCCACGCCCGCCTGCGGGGACGTCGCTGGGCGCGACCGGCTGCCGCGTTTTGGCTCACTAAACGCGCAGTCACTGCACGTCAGCAACGCTCTCGCCCGCGAAGCGCTTCGAGAAGACGTCCCGACGACGGGACGGGGGGCGCCCGGTCGGACGCAAAAGGACGTGGTCGGCGCTGTGTCCAACGGACGGAGCCGGGAAAGCTTTGGAGTAACACGACACGAAACGGCCACGGCCGCTCGATCCGCGGCTGCCCGCGGGGACGTCGCCGGGCGCAGTCGGCCGCCCGCGTTCGACCCGCGAAATCCGCACGGTCACTACAGTGCGGTCCGGCTCGAGTGCTTTTGAGGGGTCTCGAACGCTAGGATCATTGCGGTGGTGAGAGACGGTTCACAGCCTGTGACCTAACCGGTGATATCACAAAGCTGGAAAGTTTATTCGATGCATTTCCTTTTGCCAAGAAAAAAGTTCGAGGGCCGAATTGCACGGGTCGGTGCGGACAGGAGGTGGACAACAGGTTAACTAACGCCGGCTCTTGCGTTCGGGGCAACGATGTTCGTGTAGGAAGGTTTCAGCCTCGTTAGTGGGCGCTGCAATGCGCTGTGTTGGCTCTTCCATTGAGGAACATGGGGGCTTGAAGCCACTCGCGGTTCAGGAGAGCAAGGTAATAATGGTAGTAATAATAATAATACTAATAATAATAATATGATAATAATAATACAACAACAACAACAACAACAAGATTCCATTTATAAAGCGCCTTTCACGTCAGGAGGACGTCCCATTATTATTAATATTATTAATAATAATAATATAATAATAATAATATGATGAGAATAATATAATAACAATAATATGATGGTAATAATATGGTAATAATAATATGATAATAATATAATAATAATATAATACTATGATGACAATAGTATAATAACAATATAATAATAATAATAATCCTCACATTTCTCGAGACGCCTCAAAACGCTTCACGGGACACACCGCAAAGTGCAGCGACTGTGTGTTTTGTGGGCGAAACGCGGCAGCCGATCGCGCTCAGCGACGTCCCCCCCCCCCCCACCCCCACCCCCCCAAACGGCCGCGGATTCAGTGAACAATTTATTATTATTATCGGGTTTTTTTTTGGGGGGGAAGGGATTGTTACCCCCGGAGAAGCGATTCCCCCAATCGACCAACAACCGGGGTTCCTGCTCATTGCTGGGTCAACAGAGGCGGGTGTGTGCGCGTGTGCGCGTGTGTCTGCGTGTGCGTGTGCGTGTGCGCGTGTGGAGTAAGGAAACTTACCCAAAGTTTCGCCCCGACCTGACCTGACCCGCCCGGGAATCGAACCCCGGTCTCTCTCTCTCTCGCTGGTGGGGCGAGGGCTCTAACCGCTGAGCTACAGCGCGCAGCGCCTGATCGCGTCTTCGAGACGGCTCAAAGCGCTTCGCGGAACATGCAGTAAAGTGTAGTGACTGGGTACATCTTGCGGGCGAGACGGGCCCGGCGACGTCCCCACGCGCACAGCCGTGGGTTGAGCGAGCGACCGAATTATTAGTCGTGTTGCTGTATTTTTTTTTTTAAGGGATTATTTACCCCCCACCCCACCCACCCACCCACCCACCCCACCGGAAATAAGGGGCCATGACTTCCGCTGCGCCCATCGGTTCCTTGGTGGTGATTGAGATGTCCGCGGAGGTCGGCGAGGAGACGGTGGGGTGGCTGAGGTCGAGGATCGTGGCCGGCAAGCGGTCGAACGGGGCAGAGCTGGAGGCGCAGATCGTGCCGAGGTCGGGCGGCCCGAAGGGGACGGTCCTGCTGGTGAGCGCCTCCGCGGAGAGGCTCCTCCGGGGGGCCGAGGAGCTGGGCCTGATGAAGGAGGACAAGGAGGGCAACTTCAAGCCCTTCAAGCTGGCCGACAGGCGAGACTTCGCGCTGGACGAGACCTACCTGATCAGTCTGGCCGAAGGCTTGTACATCATCAAGCGGGAGCTCGACGCCTTGAAGGCCGTCGACGAGGAGCACGTGCCCGGGGAGCCCGGGGTCAAACTCTACCCGGGGCAGCCCATTTTGGCCCAGCTGCTGCTCAGCAAGATGGCGGCTCAGGTCTTCCCGCTCCACGACCGGGAGGAGCTGGAGAGACTGTGGGAGAGCAAGCGCTACCTGATCACGCAGCCCCTCGACCCGATCAGGGACTACTTTGGCGAGTCCGTGGCCATGTACTTTGGCTTCCTGGGCTACTTCACCTGGGGGGTGGCCTTCAAGACGTTGCTGGAGATCTTCCTGTACGTCGCCAACCTCAAGGAGCGCGGGGGCAACGCCCTGAGCGCCGTCTACAACATCGTCTGGGTCACGGCCTTCCCCAAGGGCTGGAAGAGACGCAGTTCGGCCATGGCCTACAAGTGGGGCACGCTCCAGCACAAGGCTCCCGGTGGGCTGCCCGACGAGCTCCGCCCGGGCTTCGTGGGCAAGCTGGGCACCAACCCCGTCACGGGCAAGACGGAGCCCGTCTTCCTGGACCGCCAGCGCTACCTCCGGGTCCTGGGCGCCTCGCTGCCCTTCACCTGCTTCAGCCTGTACATCACGCTGCTGCTCATGCAGACGTTCCTGCACCTGGACGGGTTGGCCAAGGCCAAGCACGCGAAGGAGAAGAGCGGGCAGAGCGCGGTGCTGAGCTACACGCCGCTGCTGGGCTACTGCCTGGTGCTGGAGCTGCTCAACAAGATGTACCTGGTCTTGGCTCAGGCCTTCACGGAGCTGGAGAACCATCGGTCGGCCTCCAGCCACGACAACCACCTGCTGGCCAAGATCCTCACCTTCTACTTCGTCAACAACTTCGGGATGCACTACTTCCTGGCCTTCTACCGCCGCGACTTCGACCTCCTTTCCCAGACCATTTCGGCTCAGCTCCTGGTCCACCAGGTCTTCGGGCAGCTGCTGGAAGGGGGTCTGCCCTACTGGATGGTGGTCTTCAAGAGGAACAAGATCGAGAGGAGCCTCCCGCCGTCCACCAAGGCCGGGCTGCACCTGATCGAGACCGAGGGGGCCCTGAACCCCTCGAAGGACGCGCTGCTCAAGGATTACCTGGAGCTGTTCCTGATGTTCGGCTACGTCAACCTCTTCTCCAGCATCGCTCCTCTCAGCGCCGCTCTGTGCTTCCTGCACAACCTCACGGGGATCCAGGTGGACGGGGTGAGGTTCAAGAAGGTCCTCCAGCGGCCCTTCCCCGAGCCTTCCTCCGACATCGGGATGTGGCAGCTGGCCTTCGAGTACCTCTCGTCCCTCGCCATCGTCACCAACTGCGCCCTGATCAGCACCTCGCCCGAGTTCCGCTCCCTCTTCGACCTCCCCGACGTCCAGTACTTCCTGATGACCGTGGCCATGGAGCACGGGCTGCTGGGCGTCCAGCAGGTGGTCCACACGGCCGTGCCCCGGGTGCCCTCGGACATCGCCGTGCGGCTGGAGAAGATGGAGCGGGGCTGCCCGGGTGGGGGGCCGTGCCCGCCCCAGCGGAAACTCACCACCGAAGAGACGACCACCGAGTACTTGGACTGTCTGGAGGCCTGTCTGACCCGCGCCTTAAACCAATTAAACAAAAACTATCAACCGTGAGGAGGGGGAGCAGGTCTCAAAGGGTTTTCTTTTCACTTTGATTCCCTCCCTCCATCCCTCTCCCTCCCTCCATCCCTCTCCCTCCCTCCGACCATCCCTCCCTCCCTCCCTCCCTCCCTCCGACCCTTCTTCCCTCCATCCATCCATCCATAGAGTTCTCTGCAGCTCAGGGGTTAGACCTGGTCAGGTCAGGGGGCGAATCCTTAGGCAAGTTTCCTGACCCCCCCACCCCCCCACCTCTCCCCCCCCCCTCCGCACACACACACAGACCACCCCCCCCACACACACACGCACACACGCGCACGCACACGTGTGTTCCCCCAGCAGGAACCCGGCTGTCGGTCGATCGGCCGATCGCTTTTCCGGGGGTTAATAATCCCTTCGAAAATAAAACGATAATAATAATAATAATAATAATAACAGCAATTCGGTGGCTTCAACCCACGGCCGTTTGTTTGTGGGGTGGGGCGGGGTGGGGCGGGCGGGGGGTGGGGGTGGGGCGGGGCGGGGTGGGGCGGGGGGTGGGGGGAGCGTCGCCGGGCGCGATCGGCTGCCCGCGTTTCGCCCACAAAACACACACACACACGCGAGCGCGCGCACACGTCAACACAGGAGCACAGTCACTACGCCTTCGCAGGGCGTCCCCGCGAAGCGCTTTGAGGCGTCTGGAAGACGCGATGAGTTGTTGTTGTTGTTGTTGGCATTTAAACCACGTGGTGGCGGGGGGGGGGGGTTTGGGGGGTGGGGGAGGGGGGAGCCGCCTCCTGTCATCAGCCAATCAGGAGTTGGGGGATTCCCTCCCCTCAAATGGTTACATTGTTGCCCTCAGCCATTGGCTACAGCGGCTGTCAAACAAGTACGTCACTGACTCTGATCAGCTCTGGGATTCCCCCCCCACCCCCCGTGAGTCTGTGTCACTCTCTGTGTCACTCTCTGTGTCCCTCCCTCCCCCCCACCCCCCGTGAGTCTGTGTCACTCTCTGTGTCACTCTCTGTGTGCCTCCCCCCCCACTCTCTCTGTGAGTCTCTGTGTCACTCTCTGTGTCCCTCCCTCCCCCCCACCCCCCGTGAGTCTGTGTCACTCTCTGTGTCACTCTCTGTGTCCCTCCCCCCCCCACTCTCTGTCTCTGTGTCACTCTCTGTGTCCCTCCCTCCCCCCCACCCCCCGTGAGTCTCTGTGTCACTCTCTGTGTCCCTCCCCCCCCCCCACTCTCTCTATGAGTCTCTGTGTCACTCTCTGTGTCCCTCCCCCACTCTCTCTGTGAGTCTCTGTGTCACTCTCTGTGTCCCTCCCTCCCCCCCACCCCCCGTGAGTCTCTGTGTCACTCTCTGTGTCCCTCCCCCCCCCCACTCTGTCTGTGTGTCTCTGTGTCACTCTCTGTCACTCTCCCAGTCTGTCTGTGTGTCTCTGTGTCACTCTCTGTGTCCCTCCCCCCCCCCCCCACTCTCTCTGTGAGTCTCTGTGTCACTCTCTGTGTCCCTCCCTCCCCCCCACCCCCCGTGAGTCTCTGTGTCACTCTCTGTGTGCCTCCCCCCCCCACTCTCTCTGTGAGTCTCTGTGTCACTCTCTGTGTCCCTCCCCCACTCTCTCTGTGAGTCTCTGTGTCACTCTCTGTGTCCCTCCCCCCCCCCCCCCCACTCTCTCTGTGAGTCTCTGTGTCACTCTCTGTGTCCCTCCCCCCCCCTCACTCTCTCTGTGAGTCTCTGTGTCACTCTCTGTGTCCCTTCCCCCCCCACTCTCTGTGAGTCTCTGTGTCACTCTCTGTGTCCCTCCCCCCCACTCTCTCTGTGAGTCTCTGTGTCACTCTCTTTGTCCCTCTCTGTGAGTGAGTCTCTGTCACTCTCTGTGTCCCTCCCCCCCCTCCCCTTCTCTCTGTGAGTGTCTGTGTCACTCTCTCTGTCCCTCTCCCTGTGAGTCTCTGTCACTCTCTGTGTCCCTCCACCCCCCCCTCTCTCTCTCTGTGAGTCTCTGTGTCACTCTCTGTGTCCCTCTCCCTGTGAGTGAGTCTCTGTCACTCTCTGTGTCCCTCTCCCTCTCTCTCTGTGAGTCTCTGACACTCTGTGTCCCCCTCTCTCTCTCTCTGAGTCTCTGTCACTCTCTGTGTCCCTCTCCCTCTCTGTGAGTCTCTGTCACTCTCTGTGTCCCTCTCCCTCTGTGTGTGTGTGTGTGTCTCTGTGTAACTGTGTGTGTGTATCTGTGTGTGTGTAAAACTGTCTCTGTGTGTGTGTCTGTGTCTCTCTGTGTGTCTCTGTGTGTGTGTGTGTGTAACTGTCTGTGTGTGTGTAACTGTGTCTGTGTGTGTGTAACTGTCTGTGTGTGTGTTTGTGTGTAACTGTGTCTCTGTGTGTGTAACTGTCTCTGTGTGTGTGTCTGTGTGTGTGTGTGTAACTGTGTGTGTGTAACTGTGTGTAACTGTGTCTCTGTGTGTGTGTAACTGTGTCTGTGTGTGTGTAACTGTCTGTGTGTGTGTTTGTGTGTAACTGTGTCTCTGTGTGTGTGTAACTGTCTCTGTGTGTGTGTCACTGTCTCTGTGTGTGTGTAACTGTGTGTAACTGTGTCTCTGTGTGTGTGTAACTGTCTCTGTGTGTGTGTCTGTGTGTGTGTGTGTGTAACTGTGTGTGTGTAACTGTGTGTAACTGTGTCTCTGTGTGTGTGTAACTGTGTCTGTGTGTGTGTAACTGTCTGTGTGTGTGTTTGTGTGTAACTGTGTCTCTGTGTGTGTGTAACTGTCTCTGTGTGTGTGTCACTGTCTCTGTGTGTGTGTAACTGTGTGTAACTGTGTCTCTGTGTGTGTGTAACTGTCTCTGTGTGTGTGTCACTGTCTCTGTGTGTGTGTAACTGTGTGTAACTGTGTCTCAGTCTCTGAAGCACAAATCTCCTTTCGAATTGGAAACTCAGCCCTGACTTTGCACTCAGTGTCTGTGTCTGTTTTGAAGGTCAGAGCTGTTGGGAATCTCTTTATATTATATCTCAACATATTTTTCCCCTCTGTTGGTTACTGTGGAGGAGTTTTATCGACTGATCAGCGATGGCCCTGAGAAAAGCTGCTCAAAGCCTCATGAGAAGAGCTCCCAAACTGCCCACAGCTCTCAACTGCTCCACAGCAAAGCCCAGAGGAGGTGAGTGGGGCACAGAGAGAGAGAGAGAGAGAGAAGGGGGTAGAGAGAGAGAGAGAGAAGGGGGTAGAGAGAGAGAGAGAGAGAGAGAGAAGGGGGTAGAGAGAGAGAGAGAAGGGGGTAGAGAGAGAGAGAGAGAGAGAAGGGGTAGAGAGAGACAGAGAAGGGGGTAGAGAGAGAGAGAGAAGGGGGTAGAGAGAGAGAGAGAGAGAAGGGGGTAGAGAGAGAGAGAGAGAGAAGGGGAAAGGGGGAGAGAGGAGAGAGAGAGAGAGAAGGGGAGAAAGAAGGGGACAGTAAATTGGTCGCTTCAACCCACGAGGGTTTGAGGGGCCGTCGCCGGACGCAATTGGCCGCCCCGTTTCGCCCGCAAAGCACACAGTCACTACACTGTACGGCGATGGGCAGTGAAGGGCTCTGAGCCCTCTCGACGGTGCTCTCGACGGTGCGATAAGGCGTGACATCAAGTGCAAGGATTATTATTATTATTATTAGGACGATCAGTGTTTTTTTTTATCCTTATCCTTGAATTTGATGCAGCGCTTTTCGCGCCTTTTAGACGTCTCAAAGCGCTGAATATAACTGAATATAGAGTTAATTGACGGTGTATTTGTGGGCGAAACAAATTATTATTATTATTATTATTATTATTATTATTATTATTATCCACAGAGGCCAAAGCCCGGTTTGACTGGCGCGATGCACTGGACCTGGAGAGTCAGTTGACCGCGGAGGAGATTATGATCAGAGATTCTTTCCGCACGTACTGTCAGGACAAACTGATGCCCAGGATCCTCATGGCCAACCGCGACGAAGGTACCGGGACAGAAACAACCGTGTGGCGCGTTAGACCCCTCACCTCGCAACCGAGAGAGAGAGAGAGACCCCGGGGTTCGATTCCCGGGCGGGTCGGGGCAGGGCGAAACCTCGGGGAAGTTTCCTTACTCCCCCACACACGCACACACGCGCGCGCACGCGCACCTCAGCAGGAACCCGGTTGTTAGTCGATCGACGGATCTCCTTCCGGGGGGGGGTGGTGTGGGGGTGTGGGGGTGTGGGGGGGGGGGGGGGGGGGTTAATAAACCCTTCAAAAAAAGAAATGACAACAACAATTCGGTCACTCGACCCACGGCTGTTTGCGGGGACGTCGCCGGGCGCAATCGGCTGCCGCGTTTCGCCCCACAAAGCGCACAGTCACTACGCTTTACGATCTACCCTGTGATACGCTGCGAGGCGTCTCGAAGGCTTGATATATCAAATGCAAGGATTATCATCATTAATCATTATTATTATAAATACAAGGAGCCCCCACCCCCTACCCCCCCCCCCCCCCCCGTTGTAAGAGGACGCGCTCGCCGTTGGCCGGTTTATTTTTTATGAGGCTTCCTGTCCTTTCCTGCAGTGTTTCACCGGGAAATCCTGAACGAGATGGGGGCGCTCGGTGTGTTGGGGTCGACCATCAAAGGTCAGTGTCGGCGGACGGAGCCGGTGGGGCCAACGTGCTTCCGCACTCGGGCGAAGTCGTCTCGTGGTCTATCGGGTCTCGGTCGAGGGGCGTAAGGCTTTCTCGATGGAGGTCTGCAGCTCCCGCTGGTACTGGAGCGAGTGGAAAGGCAGCTCCGAGGTCACCCTCTTCATCTCGTCCTGCGCCCCACTCAACTCCTCCGCTTCCCCCTCTTCCTTTGGGCCAAACACGCAATCTGCCCGTTAAAACAATTCGCAATTTTTTCTTGGAATGGAGATTATTATTATTTTTTTTTTTTTTTTTTTGAATTCATTTTCCTCCCGAACGACAACGGGTTTAAAGGCAACGAATGGAATAAATCCCGGCTTTGCCCTCAGAATAATTCTTAACCGTTAACTCGTGAAATCATTCGCCCCCGAATG